CTCCGGAGTAGGAAGGGCACTAACCCATTAAACCACAGAGGTAGTGGGGTCCCATTACATTGGATAGTACATTCTCATCCCGTCCTATCGTACGTGCTAACACGTACGATAAATTTAATATTGCTCGGTTTCACACTTTTAACTCCCCCTTCATTGCATTATCTGTGCGTCGAAAATATATTTTTTATGATAGAGGACAGTTAAGCATGCGGTTTACTTCAACATCCAGCCATATAACATCTAAACAAGATGCGATGTCGGCCTATTTTTGTTACACAAATGGCGATTTTTCTGTGAAGTGGCTATCCGGGTGGAATTTTGATATTCCTACCGTCCGTTTAAAGTGATAGCCCGTTTCCCCCTCGTGGGGCATGGGGCGAACACATTTCTGTATCCGTTTCACTGCTCCGTTCTTTTAACGGGCAAGTAGTTGATCAGACTTGTTGCCTGCCCGACCGAAACAATTTTATGTTTCCCTGGGATTCGAACCCAGGATACCATTTGGCTATAGAGGCGGTCCATACAATATCTAGATTTTTCAGATTTTCCAAACAAAGTAGCATTACAACAAATTTCCGAACATCCAAAGACTAAATAGGTCGCAACGCATTTAGTAGTAGCATTGTTAATAATCAAAGAGTCTTAAGTTCGATCCCCACCGTGGCCAAATATTTCTAATCGAGTTATATCGTAACAAGTTGGACTTTGTCCGGTCATTTGGATATAAAATTTGGTGCTAAGAATATCAAAACTAAACTTAGAGCCCATTAGGTTTAATCACGTTTTGTTTTTCCAATATCCAAAGCCAAAATAGGTCGACGGCCCATCTTCTTCGGATGTTATGTAGCTGGTGTATATCACCTACCATAAAGTAAAGCTCACGCTTAGCGGTTCTTCTCTATCACTTCACACTGACTATTGTTATATGTTTGCCCGTATAATAACTGGTAAGTAATTGGAATACAACACTTTAACGGTTTAAAACGCGATATATATTAAACTTATGTTAACTAAAGCGTGACCGCCTCTGTAGCTAAATGGTGAAACGTTAGGCATTAAGCGTGAGAGCTCCTTGGTTCGAATCCCGGGAAAAAAAATATATTTCGGTCGGGGCAGGGCGCAGTGGTCTGATCAATTACTTGCCTGTAAATAAGAACGATCAGTGAAACACAGAATTGTGTTCGCCCTATGCCCCACGAGGATACGGGATCTCACACCCACGTCATATATATCCCGTTTAAAACCGTTAAAGTATTTTACTTAAATGTGTACTACTCGCGTTAATTACAGACAGTATTTACTTTAATTTGATTTTATATATTAATGATTATTATATCATAGATTAATAATGAAATAATAGATGCGCGAATAACGCCTATCGGAGATATCTATATTTATAGCATTCAAAGGGACTGGTAATTGACCTAAATGGGGTGAAAGATTATTAAACAGATACGGCGATACAGTTATGCCAGAAAATCTGATGCCACAATTCCTCTGTGAGTATCTGACATTTTTTTTTTTATAAAATAGGACAGACAAAGCATAGTGCCATAAGATGCACTGTCGTCCTATGATTTAGGTATTTGGAAATCCATAGACTAAAAACGAAACGCGATTAAACTTATTTTCTCATCAATGGTTGGTGGAAATGATTTCTTGTCTGTTAAATACGCGAGTAGTACACATTTGATTAAACACTAACGGTATAAAACGCGATATATAAAAGTTAAACTTTTTTTAAATACGGCCCAACGTTTCGGATGCTTTGCAGCAGCTGTGATCACGGGGAGAGCGAAACGTTGGGCCGTAGTTAAAATAATTTCAATGTAAGCTTAGCTAATATATCCTAAATAATATATATAATAATCCTGTTGTAAAAGTGACGCATCTGTAATAAAATAATCTATGCAATGCCAAGGAGTAAAAGACAGGATAATACAAAGCACGTCTCACTGTAATGGTGGGCTTACATGGGTCACATTTTTCATAAGGGAGAAAAAATGTCCAGAAATTATATCCACCATAAACATAATTATAAAAAATGAGAGCCAAGTTCAAGTTAAGAAAGACTGAATATCTAAATGAGTGCCAAGTTCTTTACAATTTAATAAAAATGAACGACAATTGTTGATAAAAAAATCTCAAAGTAAGTTAGATTTGTATTGGTTAGTTGTTAAATACTGTCTATAGTTTACGCGAGTAGTACACATTTTAATAAAACACTTCAACGGTTTAAAACGCGATATATTAGTTAAACTTATCTGGAGATGTTAGCCGAAGTTAAAAATCATTTTCAAATAAGTTTAACTAATATATCGCGTTTTAAACCGTTGAAGTATTTTATTTTAATGGTTAGTTGTTTATGAATATTTTAAATGTTTTTTCATATTAGTCTGACCATGTCAAGTAGGGAAGTGAAGACCATTTATGTCACCACTAGATGTGTCACCGACTTCCTCCGCGTAAAATAGTTTGGGCGCCAAATTTTCTTTTTGTGAACCTTCTCATCTTTATCAGGTACATCTGTTTCCCATGACGTCAGTCGCGTCGCGTTAATCCTACAAGATAGACATATACTATAGTGGACATGTTTTTGGATCACTCAAAAATGAATCAGTCTTTCGTACTTTTTTGACCTTCCTCGATAAATGCTCTATCCAAAGCCAAAATAGGACGACAGCGCATCTTGTTTAGATGCTATAGGCTTGGGTATTTCACCTACCAAGTGAGCCTTGACTGTCTTCTTCTAACATAAAAAAATATATGAAGAATAAACGTCGCCATGTAACCCCAGCGCGCACATTCAACAGGCTGGCGCTGACGTGGAGTAGGGGGGGCATTAGGGGGGGGTAGGGTCGATGGTATGGAAATCGAAATTCATCCCATTCCAACATTTCTGACTCGCTTTATTAAAATATTTTGCTAGCGCGTCACGCCCGCGATAAACGAATGGGGCTATATGATTTTCATTACGATAAATGACGTCGCGTAGTTCCGGGCTCGAATCGTAGGGGAAGGCACAGAAGTATTATCAGCTAAAACTTTGATTAAAACTCTTTTAACTGTTTTAAACGCAAAATGTATTAATTCACTTGTTTAGACTTCTATTTAATGTGGCCACAGCTGCTGCAAAGCGTCAGAAACTGGCCACGGTTAAATTAAATTGTAAATAAGTTGAATCTGATATTTCGCGTATTAAACCGTTAAAAGTGTTTTATTTAAATATGTACTAGCGCGTAGACTACAGACAGCACGAATGTAGTGACCACACTTTTGGGTTCTGTCTTGCCGAAATTTTATTCATATATTTAGCAAGATATAAACCTTACCACACACACGCACACACATAAACACACTTTTAATGAGTGACGTAAAACTTTGAAATTATGCTTGTCAAATCGTAAAAAAATCGATGACAGCGGCGGGATTCGAACCCGCATCTCCTGCTGTTGTTCTTACGAAGTAAGTTATCGTGTCAATTGGTAAAACAGTTCGGTAAGTTGTGGTGTGTGGTTCGAATCTAGTTCGCGTCATATTTTTCCGTATTAATACATAATAATAACATGTAAAAATTAATAATGTTACAAACCTTATCGATTTTAAGCGAAATTCGTGTTTTATCGCTATCGATTCTAATCAATAATTATCTATACTGTGATAAGATACTGATGTTTTATTTAGTTTTATTCAGTTTTATTTTGATAACGCTGTGGTTTAGTTATGTTTAGTGATTAGCACTATACGTGAGTAACTAAGATGTAAGTTTATTTTCAATGTAAAACAATATATTATATTAAGTTACTCTGTGGCGTTGTATAAGCGATGGCAAGGTTCCAAGTTTGAATCCCTTCGCTACCAAACAAAACTACCGTGTGTAGTTAATTATATTCAAGTTATTTTATTCAGTGGCTCAGTTGTGAAAGGTCCTAAGTTCGATTACCAGTAATATTCAAAAAAATGTTTTATCGCCGACAACAGATTACGTCAAGTAAACAAAATGGATTATGAGGCCCATGCCCCATATATACAGATTTAGTAATATATCTAATTTAAACGAAACACGTTTAACGGGTTTAAAGGCAAAATATTATAATATTATATTAGTTCACCTTTGTTTTTTTTGTAACTACGACAAAAACATTTTATATAAGGATACCTTACCACCTTAAACGCGAAATATACGCATTTTACGGTTCAAAACGCGAAATATATGCATTTTAAACCGTTTAATATTCCGATTTCTTTAAATATATTATGTTACTGTAGGGCAAGTGATCATCGCCAAAATTTATTATTATAAATATGAATAAATAAATCCGTCAGTAAGTCTAATGATAATTTCTGTAGCTTGATCAGTCAGCTTTTCCACCTGTGGACGGCGGTTCGTGACCCGGGAAGGATTTTTTTTTATTAATTGTCCAGATTTCGATATTTAAATCAAACCTTCGTTAAGTCACCTCTTTGGTCGCCATCTTGCGTAGATCGTTCCATTTTTAAATTTAATTTATTTTGGCCGTTAAACACGACAGATAGGGATTCTCATACAACTCTCGCCGTTGCTCGACAGTACCTCGAAAAAAACTCAAAATAATGCTCTAGTTTCCAAGCATCTCTGATGCACATGCTTAAACATGCTTAAATACTGTCTATAGTTTACGCGAGTAGTACACATTTAAATAAAACACTTAAACGGTTTAAAACGCGATATATCAGTTAGATTTATTTGAAAATGGTTTTTAACTTCACGGGGAGTCTAATATATCGCGTTTCAAACCGTTAAAGTGTTTTATTTAAATTAATGCTTTTCAGAGCGATCTGCTAGCTGCTACAAAAGAGAACTTTGAGATAACTGTTGTTTGAGTCTGGTCGAGACGGAGATTCAGTCTAGTGTATTTTCAATGTACAATATATACAATAATACATAAAATGGCGCACATAATAAATATAATCAACAGATTATAATACAATTTTCTTATCTGGCGATAAACTGATTATTAATGGAAGACGTGGGGCACAGTCGCTTGCTGAAATTCTTCGTAAGTGGGTAAGTGTAACCGTTAGTCCTAAATTTTTTTTAACCTTTAATATTTGTCACATGATGGCACTATACGAATTCTAAATCGATTTTAGACTGATTAAAATGCTATTAACATACGCGAGAGGTGCATATATCAATTGTTTGAAAAACATCGACGATGACGTGTAGGGACGCGGTAGCTCAATTGGTTAGAGCAACAGCACGGGACGCTGATGATAACGGTTCAAGTCCTGATCGGGACGTAAATTTTTCGCAATCCAAAATTCGATTCGAGTCACGTGACGGTTTAAAACGCGAAATATATTCTCCTCGATTGCTGGTAGTGCAAGGGTAATTGGAAATCGTACAGATTAGAACGAGTCTTTAAGCAAGTCTATAAAAAACCTGGATCCTAGATCTAACTAAGCCAAGAAGTATATTCATAAAGTGTACAAAAGTTATGATTTTACTTTAAATTACGGTACAGAAAGACAGACAAACCTGAGCTTCAGTTTAATTTTAGGTGAGAAACATATATATAATACAGGGGTTAACTAGAATACTAATATATCGCGTTTTAAACCGTTAAACTGTTTTATTTAAAAGAAATAAATTCCTCAATCTTATTAGTATAAATTTCCTTATTTTACATTAAGTCCATTTTTTACGTTAGAATTGCTTTACAGAACCACCATGTCTGACAACGACCCAATAGAATCAAAAGTACCAGGGGAGCAGCCTCTCCGAGGAGACCCAAATACAGTGGAGCAGTTACCAGAAGACCACTACGAACCAGTCATAACAGTGACCAAACAAGAGACATCGGTGACAAAGGGGGATATAAAAGCAGAGAAGATGACCATAACGGAAGACGTGTCGGTAAAGTATCAGCACTTATTTAAAAAGAAGATAATGCCTGGGAAAACGATTGTCACCCAAGTGCAGACTCTGTCATATAAATATTGAATAAAAATGAAAACGTGATCTGTGTTTTATTTGAAGTGGTACAGACAGACAAAATTGGGGTCCACTTGATGGTAGGAATACTCTAGCCATTACATCTGACGGAGATGCGCTGTCGGCCTATTACAGTTAACGTCAGCTCGTGACGTCAAATTTCGATGTTTGTACAATTGGATGTGTAGATTTTTTCAAACCAAAATTTGTAATGTTGAAACATCTATTGTTAAGTTAGGCTAACTTGTCTGTAGTTTACACGACTAGTACACATTGAAATAAAACACTTTTAACGGTTTAAAACGCGTAATACATTAGTCAACTTAATAAATGTATATTTATTTACTAAATATCAGGTCGTAGTTTAAATAAATTCTAAGTAAACTAATATATTACGCGATTTAAACCGTTAGAAATGTTGAATGAATGCCCAGTTGTTGACGTCCTTTTAATACAGTTGCATTTATCTATTCGATATTATTTACTTAAAAATTCCTGTTTAAAATAATCATATTTAAATAAAAGATTTATAAGAAAGCCATGAAAAAAAGTTTGTTTGTTTGAATGCGGTAATCTCAGAAACAACTGGATCGAATTGGAAAAATGTTAGTTTTGGTTAGGAGTAGGAGATTTCTCGAGGAAAGCTTTAAGCTTAGAAAAAATTACACTGTGACCTATAGAGCGGAGGAACAGTGGAAAATGTGGACAAAACGGGGAAAATTATTCTTGAGGATGGATTCTTGATCTTTGAGTTACCGTTGCGTGCGCAGCGAAGACGGTTACAGACCCAAATAGTATGTGACATTTACAAACTTTAACGCTGGGAATGTCAGTTTAAGTCCTGTCCGTGTCTATTTGTTTCAATCTTAAATCTATTTTAAATTAATTTAATAATATTTAAATTACTTATAGGATGGATTGAAGACTAAGGAAATCGCGCATGAAATATTACATGTAAGGGAAGAAAGTGGGATCGACCAAGTAACCCAAACCAAGATGGTGGACACTCTCAGTGTTCAAGATGGAAGTCATGATATAGGTGAGAAAAAAACTTTTAAATAAAACACTGCGAAGCATTATTTATCATTGCTTTATTATTTATAAAACACACCACAGAATCCACATATTCGTTTACTTAATACTGTCTGTAGTGTACGCGAGTAGTAGTATATTGAAATACTTTTAACGGTTTAAAACGCGTAATCTTAAAATAATTTGTAAAGTTAACTAATAGATGTCACGTATTAAGCCGTTAAAAGTGTTTTATGTAAATGTTAAACTTATTTACAATTTATTTTAACTACGGCCAGTGGTTTCGGATCCTTTGCGGATTTAACGTAGTGTATCTAGTGTTAAGATCAAATATACTAGCTGCTATATGTCGTGTTTTGAACCGTTAAAGTAATTTATATAAACTACATACAGTATTTAATGAACCAGTACGGGCTGGAAAGTGCTAATTAAGGCCGACAACTGTAGCAACTAATATATATCGCGTTTTGAACCGTTCTCTGTGTCTTATTTTGTTTTCCCAGATTTCGAACCCATGTTACCGGGAATACAAGCGGCATTAAGCCGAGACGCGGCCGTTTTTTTAACTTCCGGCTGCCACAAGAAATATTTTTAGAACCAAATAACGACCTAACATTTGGTCTAACCCAGAATTTGAACCCTAGCTCACATCGTTTATAGCCGCAGTAGCTAAATGGTTAAACGTGTTGCCTTGCATTGCGTTAAGCGCGAGAGGTCTCGAGTTCGAATCCGGGGGAAACAATCTTTCGGTCGGACAAGGCATAGAAGTATGATCAACTAATAATACCGACTAATAATCATTGAAACGGAAATATGAGGTGTTCGTCCCATGCCCCACGGAGGAGAAACGGGGTAATATAATCTGACGGGATCTATGGTAAAATGGTAGCAATGTAGGGCTACTAATCAACGCGTCGTGAATTCGATCCCCGCCTGTCCAACATGTTTTAATCAGTTAATATTTTTTCTGAAGCATGTTGGCCTTCGTTTTCAAATCTGGATAATAAACGGGTGGTAGAATATCAAGCTGACCGCCTCTGTAGCCAAATGGTTAAACGTTTTGCCTAGCATTGCGTTAAGCGCGAGAGGTCCCGGGTTCGAATCCCAGGGAAACATATAACGGGGTCGGGGTCACGGCCGTCCACAAATACAAATTGCGTGACGTTTCATCGCGTTTCGGTTTCAAGTCGTCAGCGCATCGTGTTGAGAAGTTATGTTGCTGGGACATTTCACCCTCCATCAAGTTAATCCCCCATTTCATAAATATAATATATTTTCCAGATAAAGGCCAAAACGACGATAAGAAGGTAAAAAGTAAAATACCAATGTTGAAATTGAGAAAAGCCATGCGTGAAATAGCAGAAGATAGAAGAAAAATGGAGATTGGTGACAAGGAAGTAAGTAGTGTTGTACTAAAACCTGGTTTTTAATTGAATACCTACAGATTAAGTAAATACTGTCTGTAGTTTATACGAGTACACATTTAAATAAAACACTTTAACGCTTACATCAAACATATTGTTTGGGTATATCATTGTTTTTCTGGCTCGTCGAGAACCTCTTCTCACTCATCACGGCCGAACAGCCCGAAAAACTATGACCGTGAAAGCCTTACACTATTTATATTGTTTCTTTATCATGTCTTTGTTTTTTTCTACATGGTAAACACATTATAATTATTTATATAGATAAAAAATGCGTATAATTTTTTGTGATTTTTTAAAATAATGTAACATCATATTCCAGGTACCAATACAGAAACGGAAGTCTTCTATACCTAGACTCAAAGAGAAACCTTCGAACCTTGAGATAACAAAGACGACCCAAAACGCGCCGTCTCACCAAGAACAGAGGAAGAGTTCGACAAAATCTTTCAAGAAATTGTCGTTAAACAAAATAACTCTGACACTCCTCTTATAAAAGATCCTGAAATATTAGAATCGAAGTTTAAAGAAATAATACACGATTATGACGAAAACAAAGTAAAACCACTGGACGTGGAGAAGATTAGGAGCAGAATTCCAATGCTTAAAAGAAAGAGCGAACACGACATTGAACTGACAAAATTATCAAACCGTAGACTATCACATAAAAAACGGTCATCCATAGACAATCCACATAAAACAAACGCAGATATAAAAGCACTTAGGGAAAAGTTAATCAACGGTAAAAGTTTAAAAGCACCAATGAGAGTGTCAGGCTCTAAAAAGGAACAAGAGACACCTGCAAGTGATGTGAAAAGCTTAGAACAACAAACATCATCCAGCGAATCAAGCAGTGATGAGTCTAATAAGGTTTCGTTAGCAATATCTGAAATTGACACGGTGATTTCAAACGCCGATAAAGATGACAATAATGACGATAACGTAGAAAATGTTAATGATACTAACAATAATTATACTATAAATAGCTTAGAAATCAAACCTACACTGACAAAAAGCGCGTCCGTTACAATACCACAAGACGAAATTGATCAAACAAATCATACAAGCATACGACGCGCTGTAAGTCATGAAAATCAGGAAAATAACGATAAACTAACATCAAATTTATTGGTTCAAAAGGTATTGCAAGAACAAGAAAAATCTCATAATTCTAGTGATTGTGACAGTGTATCTCCAAGTAAAGGTGAAGCTGAAGCCCTAGAAGAACCTGTTAGTGAAGAAAAATTAAATAGGCCTATTAAACATGACGTATGTCAAGAAACGTCGACATTGATTCGTAATATTAAAAATACCTTTGAACCATTGTCAAATACTGCATTTGATTCAGAACTCAAAGAGAAAACTGATAGCGCAGAAGCAATCTTAACTGAACCAACGATTGCGGAACCAGAAGTTCTGGAGATACAGACAAATGATTTAATAGAAAACAATACCGACGATCCCAAAAAAATGCTTATTACTTCCGAAACAATAAATACAAATGAAAAAGAAAACAATAAAACAAAAGAGGTAAAAGAAAGTTCTGACAGTAGTAGTAGCAGTAACAATTCTGAAGATGAAAGCAAGTCACCAAATAAGACCGTGGAAGATGTAGTTGAAGAAATAACGAAAAACGATGATATACCTCAAAGTTATGTACATCAAAATGATAATAACAATGATGATCGCGATATTAAACCAGCTATTAACTTTGACAGTCATCCCACTGCAACTCCACCAATTAAATCAAACGACAATATAGAACCAGACTTTACTAGCAATGAAACAAATAAAAAGCAACCGATTTTAGGACATCCTAAAGCTCTATTCAACCAACCTATAACCAATTTTACCCCAATAACATTAAAAAATAATGAACAAGATAATTTGATCACTAACGGTGATACACCCAAGGCCTATACCCCAAAAGGAAATGACAAAACTGAACCTTCTAACGTAGACACTAGAAGAATTCTAAATAAAAACATCGATCAAAGCATAGAAGATTTAAAAGAGAAGAGACTAAGAGATAAAAGTAGAATAAATGAACTATTGTCAGACGTAAACGAAGATGATATAATTATACTTAAAGGAAAAGTCAATAGAGTTATCAGCAGATTGGATTCAAGAGATTATAGTGGACAGAAGAAGAAGGAAATGATAGATGAAGTACCCAAGAAATCTGTTCTATCAAAGATCGCATTGTTTGAAGTAAGTGAATATTTTCTTTTATTGAAAATCGATAAAGACAAATTAAATACTGTCTATATTATATAGGCACTAAACCAAATATTTTTGCGACCAGTATCATACTGTCGATGTTTACGGAGAGTACACATTTAAATAAAACACTTTAACGGTTTAAAACGCGTCGCGCTTAACGATATGTTTTATTTAAATCATAAAAAGTTTAATATAATAAATAATCATTGCTTTCCGGACGTTACCTATACTAATATATAAAGCTGAAGAGTTTGTTAGTTAAAAAACCTGTTTTTTTATATATAATACAAATCTTGTCGCTGTGGGGGACGATTAGGTTATTGTCCTTGTGAGTTAAATATAACAGGAATAAGGCGTCGAAACACAGAAAAACAAATGTCACGAGACAAACACGGTTTAATTGTTTCGCAAATCGATTTTATTAGCAGTCGATCTGTGCCCTGATAGAACAACATGTATTCAGCTTCTCTCCGGGGTTTGAACCCAGCACCTCTGATGAGCAGAAATGTCGTAGTTTAATAAAGAAAGAGCAAAGTTACTATTAGTAGTTATATTGTATAAAATAACAATATGAAACATAAACATCATCTATTGAAATCTTGTTTTTTATATTATATATTTTTTACACAAACGGGAGATATTCATATCAAAATTATAACCAGTTAAAACGCAAAAAATATAAGCTTATTAATATATAAGTCCGGCCGCCGACAACGAGGCGTTTAGAATACTGCAGATCGTGGTCTCAATCGAATTTAATCCGCCTTTTAAGCCGTTTAAAGTGTTACATTTGATGCATTCTGATTTTTTAAACGTTATTAAACAATGGCTACCCTTTATCAAAATATTTATATTAATAGTTTTTAAATAGTTTCACTTTTAAAGTGTAAAAGAGATAGAAGAGAGAAAACGCCCCTCAACACATTTTCGATTTCAGGAAAAGGAAGCAAAAGTAAAGGACACACCGAGGCAAACTCTGCGAACGAACAGTCAAACCGCGAGAGATCTACCGAAGATAGTCGATGAAGTTTTAAAGCCGCAAACGAAAATAGACGCTATTGTAGATACAAATAAAGAACTACCCAAAACAAAAGTAACCTGGGTCAATACAGATAATAAAAAAGCCGATACAGATAATAGAAAAAAGTTATCTTCGTATAAAAGTAGAGATAACGTTTTTCTTGATAAATATGAAGTAAGGAAGGACCCGCGCAAAATTGAGATCACCAGAGAACTCTCTTACGCAGAAAACGATTTGGGTGACGCTGTTAGGGGCAGAGTTCGAGAAATGGTGGTGAGAATGGTTTCCCTCGAACGAATGGATCTGGAGAAGAAAGGTCTCATTGAGATAAAGGAGAAACCGAGGGGTGGTTCCGTTTCGGAGAAAATCGCTCTATTTGAGGTATGTTGGCAGTCTGATGGTAGCAATGGACAGTCGTGGATTCGATCCCCAAGGGTCGGAAATGTTTCAAATGAATTTATAGCTTTTCTGAAACCTGTTGGATCTCGTCTGGAAGTTATTTGCGAAATTCTGTCTGAGTCACGAATTATTTTTCACAGAACAACTTTTAATCACGTATTGATGTCAGTTTGTGGAATATTCACAACCAAAATATTGAATTTCATGAAGTGAATACTATGTTTTTATGTCCACGCTTATTAGGCTGTGCAGCGTTGCGTCGTCGTAAATAATAAATAAACTAATATATTTCACGTTTTAAACCATAAAACTTTAAACGTAAAACTTTTAATTGATTAGGTGGTAGATACTTTAATACATTAATTGGGTTAATTTACTGTTGACTTAACTACGACCCGACGTGTAGGATGCTTTGTTGCAGCCATGGTTGCTGCGCAAAATTACATCTGACGTTTTTAACCGTTAAAAGAGGTTTTTTGATTAACTACTTACATAATATGACATTACGTTAAATTCACGAGTTGAGAGAGACATAAATTTGCTCGGAAATTTGATACCTAACACGGTAGCTCAATAAAGGAAACAATAGAACCGAGTTCTGTGGTCGTATGTTCGAGTACAGCTAGTGTCATAAAATTTGTTAACTAAATAAAATTATTTTTTTATATAATATTTTTTTTCTGTGATGATAGACCAGCAGCTATAGCATATAAACAAGATGCGCTATCGACCTATTTTGATTTTGGATATTCGCAAATCCACAGACTGCAACTGAAGCGTGATTAAACTTCACGGCTTTTCATCCGTGGACGGTAGTTCTGGACGGAATTTCGATATTCCTCGATATTCCTGCCACACATAAATGTTGGACTTGGTGGGGATCGCGTTCACGAACCGTTGATTATTAGCCGTAAGCCACCAAAGAAATTATATTTTAAACTACACTTTTAACGGATTAAAACGACAAATGTGCTCGTGTTTAATTTAATCTGTACCACACGCAACCACAGACAATAATCTTATTTTACTTATCTCAAACGCCGAATACACATCTGTTGAAAAATCTAATCTTAAAACTGCATAGAGTTTATCTCCAATATATGTCCTCGATTACTTATCTTAAGATACATAGAATGGGTTTTCGTGCTAACACGCCATATTTAATTGTATTTTAATAGACGTGGCATACTTATATTGTCAACCTTGTTCCGACGTCAGCCATAAATCGTAAACACGTTAGAAGTAGACGTTGTTTCAAGGTATAATTTCTGAAACAAAATATTAGAAGTGGCCAAGTGCGAATCGTGTTAAGTGACTGGTTAAATCTCAGGTGCATTTTAATTGTTTTTTTTATTATTGAGGTAAGTATACATATGTAATAACTAAGCTGTGTCAGCAACTTCGTCTGGGCATCCAAGTTTGGCCAAACGCATCAGAAACCCACAGAGGTGAATAGTTTTCACCGTTGTTTCTACATTTCCCGCTGTTTCTCAGCTCCTATGAATTAAAGCGAATTCTTTAACAGTCTATAGCTATCCTCGAGAAATGCTCTAACACATTATTTTTTTATTCTAACTAGTAGTTCCTGAGAGTAGCGGATTTAAACAAACAAACTTCAGCTTTATTGTAGCCGAAGAGATAGTGGGAAATGTGGTTAGAGTGTGGGAAAAATTATTCAAATAAATTAACCAATACATTTCGTGAAAAGTTTTAACCCGTTAGAAGTGTCTTTTTAAATAATTCTATAACTGATTTATAGGATTTTTGCAAAGACGTTTTGCCATATTTACGCGTATCATTAACCAATAAATTTGCTATTTTAAGTTAAAAATCATAAATTAATTGAAAAAATATTACGACGTTGACAGATGTTTTGCCTTATCGTTCTTCAAAAACTTAACTATTTGTAAGTTAACATTCTGTAAATTAATTGCAAAAAATTACGACTTGGACAGATGTGTTGCTTACCTTTTTTTGAGTTTTAGGTACTGTCAGTAAGGTGAAAGGTACACGTAAAATAAAACTTTGAACGGTTTATAATGCGAAATATATTTTAAACGTCAAACCGACGTTTTGGGATATTTGGATAGTACTTTACTACTACTACTAAACTTTTAGCGTTTTAGGCCGTTAACAATGTTTTATTTCACATAGTTTTATATTTCCTACCTTAGTAAATTTCTAGAAAGGGCGGGATTTAGACCGCGTTACGTGCTGTTGCTTCAACCTACTAACGTAAAGTTGTCAATATAAATTTATTTATATATATAATATGCAATAACATGTGAAAAACTAAGTTCCTACCTTGTTTAACTTAATTTTAAACATTACAGACTAAAGTAACAACAGTCAAGACAAGAACGGACATCAAGAAGAATCAATCGAAAGAAATGACGCAGGACAACATGACAGAAGAGGAATTAAAGGAAAGAATACAGGAATTAAAAGAGGCAAGGAAGTATGGAAAATTCACAGATTTAAAATATATTGAATTGAACGATGGGTGTATGATGCCAGCTCTAGGTGTTGGCACGGCCCTGGTGAGTATAGTAAATAAAACACTTTTAACGGTTTAAAACTCAAAATATATTTGTTAAACTTATTTTAATTACGACCCGACGTTTCGAGCTGGAGGATGTGGTGGGTGAATGTCGAAACTCAAAAACAGTCGATATAAGTTAAGAAATATATTTCGCTTTTCAAACCGATCGAACTGTAATTTATATTTAAATAAAACACTTTAATGGTTTAAAACTAAAATTTCAATAGGGAGGACGGCCTCAAATTATCAAACGCCTGGGATCCCATATTAAAAACTCTGGATCCCTGGTAAATCATTTTCAAATAAGTTTAACTAATACGTCGCGTTTTAAACCGTTAAAGTGTTTTATTTAAACGTGTACTACTCGCGTAAACTATAGACAGTATGTAATTTATATGTTTACGTCTCGCGTAGACTACAGAAATGAATTGCTTTGAAGAAAATCAAATCTAACATTATTTTAATTTTTTAAAAGGAAACAGACAATCATGGACAAGCATCAAACATCTAAACAGGATCCTCTGACTGAATTTAGACGCGATTAACTTTACTCTATCATCTGTGGACGGTGATTCGTGGACACGGACGGAACTATAATATTACTACCATCCGTTTAATATTCAAATTCCAGACAAGCAGCCGTTGTCGCTTTTTGGTTTTTAGTCTATGGATTTCCGAATATCCAAAGCCAAAATTTCTAATTCCTATTTTTGTCATTTATTACTTCCTATGTTTACCGCTAGTCACTGTTATATAGTATCGAATGGTTGTATGTGCGCTGTCTAACAGGCAAACGGTAGGGTTTTGCTGAAAATCAGTGTTGTAGCATAATAACCGTGCTGCGACTTATGCTGACGTAAGACCCTTTTAAACAAAATCTAATTTAATCTTGTCGTAGTATTATTATTTCACTTTTATCATTATTATTTTTTATTTTTATTACATTTATTTTTATTACGTCTAATGATTGTACAAAATGAATGCTAAATAAAGAGATTTATTATTATTATTATTATTAAAATAGGTCGATAGCGCATCGTGCGCAGATGTTACATGGCTGGGGTATTTCATTTACGATCACGTGTGCCCTATGCGACCCTATAACAACATATAATTTATATTTATTTCAGCTCAACAAGAATCTAACAAAGCATATAATTAGTGCAGCCATAGATCTAGGCTATCGAACCATAGACACAGCTTACATTTATGGCAACGAGAAAGAAATTGGTGAAGCGATTAACGAGAAGATTAACGACGGGACTGTTAAACGGTAAATAGTGGTATCTATACTAATACTAGCGTTGTCAGCGACTTCGTCCGCGTAGAGTATCCGAATTTGTTTTTGCAAACCCCAACATAAGTTGCGTCTCGTCGCTCGCGACCCGTCGTTCTTGCTAGTTAATCTTAAAAGAAAGACATTTTATTATTTGGATATAAAGAGAAATCATTCCTTTTAAATTTAAATAAAACACTTTAACGGTTTAAAACGCGATATGTATTAGTTTAACTTGTTTGAAAATTATTTTTAACTTCGGCCCGCCGTTTCGGATTTTGCTTTGCAGCAGCCGTGGCCACGGGGGAAATCATTCTATACATATTTTCTATACATTAGAAACCCGCAGAGATGAAAAATCCCCCGTTTTGTCCAAATTTCCCGCTGTATCTTCGCTTCTCGGTAAGCTCCAAGCTAACACAATAACAATTTTTCAATTCGAACCCGTTGTTCCTTAGATATAGCGCGTTCTAAACAAACGTGGAAGGCTTTAAGCCATAAAAATAATTCTATCTTTTAAATTATATCCCAACGACGGGACGCGGACGAAGTTGTACATAGTTTAAGGAAGGTTTTCAAAAACAAATTTTGTTGCCCAAAATAACTATTACACTAGAACGAAGTCGCGGGCACAGCTAGTTAGTTATAAAATTTGTTCAGAGTTCTGATTCCACGTTTGTTGTGATTTATAAAACGACTGTGATCTGTGATTTGACCAGTATGAATTTTTTTTTTCAATTTATTGTAGATTTTTAATGTATTTGATGACTCAAATAATCACGTAAAACGTAAAATTGTTTTCAGTGAGGAGCTCTTCATAATATCCAAGTTATGGAGCACCTTCCACAGACGAGACCTGGTGGAGAAGGCATGCAAGATGTCCCTGAAAGCCATGGGCTTGGATTACTTCGATCTGTACCTGATTCACAACCCTATGTCGTTTAAGGTCAGAAATTGATAAACATTAAATAAATCGCTTTTTAACGGTTTAAAACGCGAACTATATTCGTTTAGTATTTTTAACGACCCGACGTATCGAAATATTTAGAGCAACAGGCGCAACAAAACGTCGGGTCACAGTTTTCGATATTAAAGTAATACAGTTGGCGTTTTAACTTAATTAATGTTGATTAGTTTAATCTGCATAGACAATAGCTATTTAAATATATAAAAATTTCTTCTGAGGTTCGGAAGATTTAAAAGATATTCTAAGATAAAATAGGTCAACAAAAACCAATTTTATGAAAAATCTTTAAATATAAATAAATTCAACTTAATAAAAAAAAAAAATATAATAAACAAAATATTGAACTCTATCGATCTAACGAAAATTCACAGGAAGGAGACGACCCAGTACCAAAAATCGCTAATGTGATACAATACAGCGAATCTGACTATTTGGACGCCTGGATCGGAGTGGAGCACGTCGTGAAGAAGGGCTGGGCACGAAGGGCTGGTGTGAGCAACTTCAACTCAGCGCAGCTGGATAGAATAATCGACAAGGGGCGAATCAAACCAGTCGTGAACCAAGTATGTACAATGCTGTCTGTAGTTTACGCGAGTAATTTAAATAAAACACTTTAACCGTTTAAAACGCGAAAGCAGCCAGCAGATTTGACCTTGACATTCAAAGTCAGGGACACTCTCAACGTTCGGTTTAACGGTTTAAAACGCGTAATATATTTGATGAAATACACAAATGTCGTTGCAGTAGCCGAAACGTTGGGCCGTTGTTATAGTAATCTATAAATGAGTTAAAGTAATATATTTCGCGTTTTAAACCGTTAAAGTTTTTTTTGTAAGTATGTTTTTACCCAATAATTACACACACCCACTTATTCGAACGTGATTTTTAACTTCGGCCCGACATTTCGGATGCTTTCCAGCAGTGGTCACGGGGAGACAGCGGTTTTAAACCGTTAAAGTGTTTTATTTAAATATATCGAACCTCTTTACAGCCCAGTAGTGGGACTTCAAAGGGCTCGTTGGTCTAATAGCAATGTGTGGCTAAGAATACCCCACAGATGAAAAACCCGTGAAGCTTAATCGCGTTTCGGTTTTAGCCTGTGGATTTCCGAATATCCAAAACCTACATAGGTCGACAGCGCACCTTGTTTAAATGCTATAGGCTGGTATATCACCTACCATCATGTGAACCCCGTGCTCTTTTATCCCCCTCTATCATTAAAAAAAGGAAAGAAAAAAAGAGAATAGTAGTCTATATTCCAGGTCGAATGTCACCCATACTTAACACAATATCGTTTGGACGAATTCTGTCAATCGAGGGACGTCAAACTGAGCTGTTATGGGGTTTTGGGGTCAAAAGGTACCCCATTGGAGTTGAAGAGTGGGATCTCCCCAGTGATTGATGATCCCATGGTGCTTGCGATGGCTGCTGGGTTGAACATAACGCCGGCTCAACTTTTAATAAGGTATGTATAGGCTTTGTTATATAGTTAGCTAGCTGACCTAGCCAGGATTCTTTTGCCAATCCGCGATGCTGTTTGTCTATTTTTTGAGATTAGGTTGCGAGAACGACGTGGAGGGACGCCACTGACGTCGTGGGTAACAGCTTAATTTTATAGAGATGACGGGTTTAGCAAGAACTCATTTGGATGCCCAAAATAACGATTCTCGCGGACGAAGTCGCTGGCACAGATAGCTTACAATTTGATTACCACAAACACGATTCTTATCTGTTAGTAATAAAAGGTAGACATATTATTATATTCTTTTATATATGGGGGGGGGGGGGGGGGGGGGGGGGGAAGAGAGGGGGGGGGGGGGGGGGGGGGGGGGGGGGGGGGGGGGGGGGGGGGGGGGGGGGGGGGGGGGGGGGGGGGGGGGGGGGGGGGGGGGGGGGGGGGGGGGGGGGGGGGGGGGGGGGGGGGGGGGGGGGGGGGGGGGGGGGGGGGGGGGGGGGGGGGGGGGGGGGGGGGGGGGGGGGGGGGGGGGGGGGGGGGGGGGGGGGGGGGGGGGGGGGGGGGGGGGGGGGGGGGGGGGGGGGGGGGGGGGGGGGGGGGGGGGGGGGGGGGGGGGGGGGGGGGGGGGGGGGGGGGGGGGGGGGGGGGGGGGGGGGGGGGGGGGGGGGGGGGGGGGGGGGGGGGGGGGGGGGGGGGGGGGGGGGGGGGGGGGGGGGGGGGGGGGGGGGGGGGGGGGGGGGGGGGGGGGGGGGGGGGGGGGGGGGGGGGGGGGGGGGGGGGGGGGGGGGGGGGGGGGGGGGGGGGGGGGGGGGGGGGGGGGGGGGGGGGGGGGGGGGGGGGGGGGGGGGGGGGGGGGGGGGGGGGGGGGGGGGGGGGGGGGGGGGGGGGGGGGGGGGGGGGGGGGGGGGGGGGGGGGGGGGGGGGGGGGGGGGGGGGGGGGGGGGGGGGGGGGGGGGGGGGGGGGGGGGGGGGGGGGGGGGGGGGGGGGGGGGGGGGGGGGGGGGGGGGGGGGGGGGGGGGGGGGGGGGGGGGGGGGGGGGGGGGGGGGGGGGGGGGGGGGGGGGGGGGGGGGGGGGGGGGGGGGGGGGGGGGGGGGGGGGGGGGGGGGGGGGGGGGGGGGGGGGGGGGGGGGGGGGGGGGGGGGGGGGGGGGGGGGGGGGGGAGGAAAAAAAAAAGGGGGGGGGGGGGGGGAAAAAAAAAAAAAGGGGGGGGGGGGGGGGGGGGGGGGGGGGGGGGGGGGGGGGGAAAAAGGGAAAAAAGGGGGGGGGGGGGGGGGGGTGTGTGTTTTTTGGGGGGGGGGGGGGGGGGGGGGGGGGGGGGGGGGGGGGGGGGGGGGGGGAGGGGGGGGGGGGGGGGGGGGGGGGGGGGGGGGAGAGGGGGGGGAAAAAAAAACCCCCAAAAAAAACGGGGGGGGGGGGGCCCCGGGGGGGGGGGGGGGGGGGGGGGGGGGGGGGGGGGGGGGGGGCCAAAAAAAAAAAAAAAAAAAGGGGGGGGGGGGGGGGGGGGGGGGGGGGGGGGGGGGGGGAAAAAAAGGGGGGGGGGGGGGGGGGGGGGGGGGGGGGGGGGGGGGGGGGGGGGGGGCCCCCGCGGGGGGGGGGGGTTTTTTTTTTTTTTTCCGGGGGCCCCGGGGGGGGGGGGAAAGGGGGGACAAAGAAGACAAGGCAACCCCGACAAATATATATTTTAGTATATGGAACCGTTTAAATAAAACGCGATACATATTAATAAAGCTTATTTGATTTTTTTTAACCACGGCCTGACGTTTAGGATGCGATGCAGCAGCCGTGGTCTCGAGGTGACTAAAGATGGAGGGTGTCTCTGGCATCAAATTAAAAAGCATCCGAAACGTCGGGCCGTAGTTTAAAAAATATTCAAATAAGTTTAACTAATATATATGGAACCGTTACGCGGCGAACGCAACGGAAGGATAACAAGAAAAAAGTCTCCCTCCTAATTCTTTTGCATTTTCTATATTAATGCGAGTAGCGTACATTTAAATAAATCACTCTTAAGGGCTTATATGACATATAGCTCACTTATATAACTTAGCCGCGACCTCCGTCACCATGGCTGCAGCAAAGCGTCATGAACGGCCGGACTGTAATTAAAATATTTCGTATATTTCGTTTTGAAGAGTTTTATTAAAATATTTTAAGCTACTTCATTGAAGATACAATTTGTGTTTTATACGTTTATTATAAGAAAGTATAAATAATATAATTTCGTATTGCTTGTTACCAAACCGCCATTTTTTATAAGAGTATAGAGAAGTGGCCAGAGTCTCAGTGACATAGACTACCACAGACTTCAATATTTATTATTATTTAATAATTAATATGAATAAAACATAATACAGATAAAAAATAAAAGACAGATCACGAACCCGGAACGGACGGAAAACCCAAATGTTTTCTCCTATACGAAGGTTGATACAGAGTATAAAAGAATATAAGATTATTCATGGTGGCACTTTATAAATTAAAAATCGATTATAAATGGAAAAAAAATACGACTCGGCCAGGACTTGAACCGCTAACCACAGCGTTCTCCGCTGTTGCTCTAATATGTAATAAGTAGATTTTTTTATATTTGTAATCGATTTTTAATTATAAATAACTTAAATACTATAACAATTAGCTTACAAAATAGACAATATTTAAATATATATAAAACTCGCTTTTTTATTATATCATGCTATATATATGATCTTCTTTCAGCTATCAACTTCACTTAGACCACAGCGTAGTGGTGAAAGCTTCCAGCGGTAGTCGGTTGTGGAGTAATTTGCAAGCGCAAAACGTTAAGCTGGACTCGACACAGATGTCGGGCCTCAACGCGCTTAACAGGAACAAACGAAATTTTACATTTAAAGGGTAAGATATTATATAATATAAATGACTGAAGACAGCCAAGCATGAAGCATGATGGTTGGTGAAATACCCATCTAAGGAAGGTGCGCCGTCGCCCTATTTTGGCCTTGTATACTTCACGACATTATTTAAATGTAAAATTTACGACACGGGCAGAACTTGAACCGGCATCCGTAGGTTCCGTGCTCTAACTGCGACACGGAAGCTCAATTGGTTAGGACAATGATTCAAGTCCTACCCGTGTCGTACTTTTTTAAATTAATATTTGACTTTTAATGAAAAAAAATCTTTATTCACAGATTGGGCGATACTCATCGAAATTATCCATTCAGAATACCTTTTTAAACTAATAAAGCATATAAATAGAACACGTATAACGGTTTAAATGGCGTACAATAATTGTTATTTACTTTCAACATACCTAAGTTACAAATGATTTACAACAGCTTGAGTCACTGCTGTTTTAAACCGTTAAAGATGTTTTTAAATGTAAAGCAGTCACGTACAAATATTGTTTCAATAATAACATTGACTAATGTAGGTACAGAACTTTTAAAATTAATGTAACTATTGAGTAAAAAACTCCGTATTTCTAATTAATTGAAAAACATTAAGATTCCTACAACCATTCAACATGTCTTAGGAAAATATTGTCTATAGTTTACGCGAGTAGGACACATTTAAATAAAACACTTTAACGGTTTAAAACGCGATATATTAGTTAAACTTATTTGGAAATGATTTTTAACTTCGGCCCGACGGCAGTCTCCCCGTGACCACGGCTGCTGCAAAGCATCCGAAACGTCGGGCCGAAGTTAAAAATCATTTCCAAATAAGTTTAACTAATATATCGCGTTTTAAACCGTTAAAGTGTTTTATTTAAATATGTCTTAGAAAATTTATTAATGTAAAAAAAAGCAATTTTGGTTCGGTCGAGATCGAACTCATGAGCTTTGGTTATTGGCTATATGTTGCGATTAACGAGGCCATCATAACTAATTATAATGAGAGAATGTGTTTTATTAATAAGTAAGAATAATTATTTAAACTTTTTTTTATGTTCATACAATTATATACCATAATTTATTTTCAAAAGTAAATTATTATAAATTTGTTGTAATATATATCAAGTTTGTTAATAAATAAAGCTGTCTTTTATTTATTGAACAATTTGTTAAATTAAATTGTAAAATGTTGCTTTATTTTCGTCATAACACTAGATCTATGCCTAATATTGACTTTTATTGCTTAAAAGCATATAAAATGTTTATAATATATGTTTTTCTTTACTTAAGGGTGGCTTCCATAGTATATTACTTACATAAAACTAACATTTGCCCTTTTATACTAATATTGGCAAAAGTTGGGCTTTATTAGCGACTTTTTCAGTATTTTTACTTTTAAAATTATTAAGACTGTATTAAATAAATGAAATATGAGTTAACTTTAATAGTTTTATATGTACTTTAATTTTTAAACTGATTTTTTAGCAAGTGGTAGATTATAGCGTGAGTTTTTTTACTCCACAAATGATGTAGGATTAAGTAAATATCTATAATGTATGGACCAAACAACGTCAATATTAAAAATAAATTTTGAGACGACCTATTTTTAATTTTTATGTCAATATTATCTAGCAGATGATACAGGTGATAATATAAAAGATAAAATACTTAATACACTGAACTCAAAGTTTAATATTATTAGAGTGAATAAACTGTGCTAAAATTATAACTAATTCGACAGAAGGCAGTTGTAAAATACATTTCATATTTGTAGGGCGGGGTTTACTTTAAGGGAGAACTCCGAGAAGGGAAAAATTGGGACTTTTATTAATTCTACTGATTATACAAAGATAGATAACATAATATTTTGTGTTTAGTAATATGTCAAAAGACTCGGTGCCACGTCATGTAAATGTCACTTATATGTCAAATCAATGTACAATATATCAGCTGAGAACAAACAAACAATTGCAAACAAACGAAACTTCTTCACGTTGTAAATATTGTTTTGTATTTAGTATATTCGCGGCAGCCAAATAACTTAAAAACTAATTAACTGTACGTTTGTATAATATAATAATTATTTCTATAGTAATGTTATTTTTTAAAATATAACCTAACCGACATGTTATTTATCCATGTTTTTATCGCAGTTGCAGAGATGGAAGAGATAAAACAAGAGATAGATGTTTTATTATCCGATGCTCCGGTTTTCAAAGATGAGATGACAAAAGAAGAAGAAGTGTTTCAAACCGGTATAAATACAAAATTCACGCAATACAGTGACCTGTTATTGGAGGCTCCTAGGCTGTGTTCTGTATGTTGTTGCGTTTTTATTAATAGGTATGTTAAAAGCTAAACGTTATGTGATTAAAATCCAAAACAACCAAAGCGATGACAAAAAATATTTGAGTATATGTATAACAAGATTTGTTTTAACATTTCTGTAGGAAATGGTATAATATTTTAATAATTTTAATTTTTTTTTAGCTATTCATTCCTGTGCCACAACTTAACACACTTGGAAGTAAAGCTGACAACATTAACTCCAATACTCTGCCAGAGATGTCCGAAAGAATTTTATCGCGTTACAGACCTTGAAGCTCACATAAAAACCGAGCATTTAAAACTAAAACCATCTAAGAGTGTACTGAAAAAGTGTGATATATGTAAGAAGATATATTCGAGAAAATACTGGCATAGTCATATGAAGGAGGTGCATTGTGAGGGTGAGGAGAACTCGGTGACATGTGAAACGTGCAACAAAGTGTTCAAGAATGTGGTGACACTGAGTCGTCATCAGAAATATGTACACAACAAAGTGGTTAAGCCCTGGAGATTTCACAAGAAGAAGGAGAACGTCAAATTTGAGTGTACAGAGTGTCCAAAAGTGTTCTACAATAGACATTCCTTGAAGAGTCACATCAAATGTTGCCATGTTGAGTCGGAATCACCATGTCCGCAGTGCAGTGCTGTGTTTAGAAATGAATTGTATTTAAGATCACATTTAGCCAGAGTTCACTGTGAAGATGGTAGAACGTATGCCTGTGATATATGTGGAAAGGAATTCAAGTCTTTACGCAGGGTCAGGATACACAAGCGGAACTCTCATCGGTTGATAAATGGGCTTAAGTTTGAATCTTGTAAAGTTAATATCAAAATTGGTGTTAAACACTTGTGAGGATATATTAGTAAACTTATTTGAAAATATTTTTAATTCGTTCCCAAAGTTTTGGATGCTTTGCAGCAGCCGTGGTCACGGGGATACATAAATCCGTTTTAAAGTTAGTGTTTTATTAAATGTGTACTACTCGGTGGACAACAATTGTTGAAGTAAGAAACCAATTGAAAGTTACAGAATAATGTAATGACGAATAATGAACTTCTGCTCCCGCAGTTAAAAATCATTTTGCAAATAAGTTTCAACTGCCAATAGATAGGGCGTTTTAAACCGTTAAAGTGATTTTATTGCCTTTTCCCAATGCTAAAATATAGAACGTACTCCTGTGTGATAACTCTAAAAGACAAGTTTTTAATAAAAAAAATGCCACAAAAATCCAGTTTAATTCCTCCTTTTTTCTACAAAACTTACACTCAATAATTTAGTTACTTGTTACTCTATAAAATTTAGTCAGACAAAAATCTAGTTATTTCAGTATTATAAAAAAAAATAGCTACTTTTCAACTAATTTCTACTCAATATAGTAGTCATCGAGTACAACATCAACTTACACGTCTTGTGTTAGATGGGAATATATTGAATCTTCTCTTTATACACTACACAGTAACCCAGTTGGTAGAACCACAGCACGACGTTTAAAGTGGCTTTGATAGCTGGCTTTGTAATGATTTTTATCCAAAAGTAATTTGAACACAAAGTAAAAACTCAAAATGTTTTAACTTATTTTATTCAACAATTGCACAATACAATATATACACAAACAATAAACAAATCTATATGAGGCTGCTAGATGCAGAGTGGCCTAATAACAAAAAACATGACTTGCAATGAGAAAAATAAAAATGCGATTTTTTTCAATTCAAACTTAGACGAAAATGAATTTGTCCTTTTATTTGTAGAATAACACTCTATGCTCTTGTAGGTTAACATTTTAAGACTATAAAAAAATTTAATAACTCAAGTTATAAAATTGCAGTTAGGCCACTCTGCCTCTAGCGGCCTTATGTGCAACGTAACATAATACATTTAAAAAATCACATCTGCAATATTTAAAGAAAACAAATATAATCTTGTTATAACTTATGTTCTGAAATGATCTAATCTTAAAACTTTTTAAGATAAATTAAGTTTTGCAGCTTATTCTGTATTCCGTAAAACTACATCATAGACAGAGTGGGTCGAACTCGAAGAAGGTAGAGAATAGTGCCTCCCCCACCATTTCTTATACCTGAACCCTCTAGGAAATGGTGGGGGTATTTCTTTCTTGAGGTTCATGGATGCAATGTACAGATTTAGCCTATTGCCCACAGGTGGGCATAGGCCACTCTTAGACCCATCACGCTGAAGGTTGGTGGGCAGACACAAAATTGACCGTTGTACGACATTGGTAAGAACTAAAACATTAGACTGATATTAAATATTTTTGAGAAAAAGCCCTAATTACCGACCAAAAAATATTTGGATTCGAACCCAGAACCTACTAGACTTTAATGCATAAATTATCTTAAACCATTTTATGAACACAGAGAGAAACAAACTTGAATCACTTTATAAAGATTTACAATACATTTCTAGTCAACCTACCTAATAATATAAGACAGTCTACATTTAAGTTACTAGTAAATAATACACTTAACGGTTTGAAACGAGAAATACATCATTAGATTTTTAGCAGCCAAGGTCCCTCGACCGTAGATGGTGAGCGTTAAACTCAAAACGGCTACGCTAGCGCCATCTGTTTAGTCGTGTTTGTAATCAACTAATATATTTCGCGTTTTTACCGTTAGTTTCATTTAATTCGTACAACTCGCGTTACTTTAGACTATCTTATAATCAAATCCTTCCATTATCAATAGTTAACACTACTGAATGAATATTCTAAGTTAAGTAAAAAATTGGGTTTCTGAACTAAAGATCAAATAGAAGAAAACCCAGAAATCTAAAGAAAAACGTGTGTGCCAATGTTGTACTTCAATTTAAATAAAACACTTTACCGGCCGCTGCAAAGCATCCGGAACGTCGGGCCGTAGTTAAAATAATCTTCAAATAGTTTAACTAAAATCGCGTTTTAAACCGTCAAAGTGATTTACTTAAATGTGTACTACTCGCGTAAACTACAGACAGACTAGGTATCTATATAAATACTTAAATAGGAAAATTGATTATATTTATACGATACATTAAAATCACAAAATATGGATCAAAGCCGGAAATATATTAACTACTAGTGACTTATGTCATAGCTGATTCATCGACGCTAGCGCCATCTGTTTCGTCGTATGTACGTTAATTTTGGAATTATCAATCACTTATTTAGCAATTAATATTTTGTGCGTTAAAAACCATCAAAATGGGTTTTTAGATATATTAAACTAGTTTAAAATATTAAAATTAAGTAATAAATAAATATATGTATGTATTATTGAAGGAAATATAAGTTCTACTTTAGTGAACAATTCATCAAAACAATTTTTTATAAATAAAATTTAACTTTTGATATTAAAAGTGACAGAAGTAATAGTTAAAAAAAGCGATTCAATCTAGAAAAATTGAGATCAGTCTAGTTGTTGGAGTTGAAATGCATTCTGGTATATCCTACCACCTCATAGAATTAATTGACACTTTTGGTATTATACATTATACAATGAAAAAGACTTTGTATTAAACACTTTTACCGGCTTAAAACAGTAATATATTAGTAAACTTATTTACTACTAGCTGTGCCCGTGACTTCGTTCGCGTGGAAATAGTGACTTGGGGTAGAATTTTTAAGTATTTAGACTATTTATTAATTTATGTAATTGCGCATTTATCGCAGCCAATCTATGTTGTAAGTGCTACTTTGCTGCAACACTCTCACCTCACATCACTCCTACTCTAACTCCCACTCTCATTCCTACACTCACTCACACTCCCACTTCTATTCCCAAAAAGCCAAAGAAGAAAGTTTAATTGTTCTAGCTTCAAAAAATAATGAATTTCCATACAAACTTTCACCCCCCTTTTAACCACTTAAAACCCCCTTTTCGCAATAAAAAGCCTAGCCTATGTTCTTTCTCAGGGTTTAAACCATGTGTGTACCAAATTTCATTTAAATCCGTTCAGCAGTTTTGGCGTGAAGGAGTAACAGACAGACAGAGTTACTTTCGCATTTATAATATTAGTAAGGATGACCCGACGTTTCGAAAGTTAATATAAATTGCAACTCACTAATATATTTCGCGTTTGAAACCGTTTAAAGTGTTTAATTTAAATATTTACTACTCGCAGACTTACTACTTTTTTGAAATTGAATACTCCACGCTTGTCTGTCGTCCACTTTAATAAAGAATAAGTAATAGACATTCGAAAGAGAGTTTTTTGCCACTTCTGCTCGTACGTTATCTGCCCTTAAGCATTAGTCAACTTAAATTAAGAGTCTTTGGAACTTATTTGACGCTCAGAAGTGTAGTTACCTACGAGTACTTTTCTTTATGGATCACTAATTTTTCAGCTACATCTGGTATACTGCAGTTCTACTGTATCCTTTCCTCGTCTTTTGCCTGTTTAGACTAGTGTTTAATATTCGTCAGCCATCATTAGCACAAAGAGAGCGGTCCACCCAGTAAAAGGCTTACAGCCGGATCCTCTGCCGTCTTGGTCCGAATATTGCTCCCAGAGGTATCCCGTCTTTTTATATTGAGATATTATATTACCTGAAAAAAGAAAAAAAAATGCGTATTATTACAACTATATACATTTAGCATTTTGTTTCGTTAAGCACTGTCTGTAGTTTACGCTAGTACGCATTTAAATAAGACACTTAAACAGTTTAAAACGCGAAATATATTACGCGACCGCGGCTGTTGAAAAGCATCTAAAACTTCCGGCCGTAGTTAAAATAAAATCTAAATATGTTAAACTTATAAATTTCACGTTTTAAACCGTTAAAATTGTTTTATTAAAATACGACATCGATGAATATACACCAACCGTTAAACCGGAGTTTTTTATTTCTTGGTTAATTTGGATATTAGCAACTCACCAACTAAGTTCGCCTTGAGCCGTGTGTGCAACTGCTGCGCGCGCGCAGCGTGCGGCCCGCCCGTACCCGCGTAGTGCTTCAACGCGGACACCGCTAAGTAATTAATATTGATCCACACTTGCCCACGCCAGTACGGTGGGTCGTGTTCTGTGTTCCTCTTCATATATAGAGGCGCGGATTTTGAGAGCGATCTGAAAATTGTATACCGTTAATATGTGTTAATTTAAATATAACACTTTAACGGTTTAAAACGCAATATATATTAGTTGAACTTAAATACTGTCTGTAGTTTACGCGAGTAGTACACATTCAAATAAAACACTTTAACGGTTTAAAACAGTCTCCCCGTGACCACGGCTGCTGCAAAGCATTCGGAATGTCGGGCCGAAGTTAAAAATAAGTTACACTAATATATATCGCGTTTTAAACCGTTCAAGTGTTTTATTTGAATTCGTTAAACTTATTTTAAATAGGCTTTGCAGCAGCCGTGGTCACGGGACGAATGTGTACTACTCGCGTAAACTACATACAGTATATATATGTTTGTTTACAATATGGTGGATATGTTATACAACCAAACGGCTGTACCCATTTAAGTGAGATTTAGTCACATGTAAAGATCTTCGCGAAGCTTTAAGCTGAGTCTGAATCCAGAAATGCCACAATTTATTTGTTTATATTTCTTATTTTAGCTATAAATGTTTTTTTAGTATTGTGGGAAAATGAAAATCCAGAATACTTATCGAATTAAATTAATCTTGCAGAAAAACACACACACGCACACATATTAATGTATATGATCACACACATCCACAACCATACACACTATACCATCATAAAACATATAAAGTTAGCATGTAGTGCCAATAATAAAACTAACTTATCAGTGTCCACCCGTGGGACAAGAGGCAAACACATCTTTGCGTCCGTTTCACAGATCGATTTTACTTACAGCCAAGTAGTTAATCAAAATCTGTGGCTTGCCTGAACGAAACAATTTTGTCTTTCCGGGATTCGAACCCAAGACCTTTCGCGCTTAAAACAATACTAAGCGATATGTTTAACCACGTAGAAACGAAGACGGAATTTTTTATTACTTATTTTTGATGACACGGGCGAGACTCAAACCGACAACTATACGCGTGCTATTGAAAACATACCTCAAACCATAGGGCGACCACAGCAATTCCGGCTTGTCCAGAACCTCTAGGATTTTGCCCAATTTTTCGCTACTTGGTTTTAACACTTTCAGCAGCATTGGAAACAGTGATATGTAACCTGAAACATTTTATTATGATTACTATCACATTGTATACATTACATTATAGGAAGAAACAAGAGATTTAGGGAAATCATACATATTCAGCCCCCCATGACCACGGCTGCTGCAATACATGCGGAACGTTGTAAATAAATAAGTTTATATCGCGTTTTAAACGTGTTTAAATGTGTACTCGCGTACAAACTCAAATCTATATTGACAATAAAAAATTAAACACGATTAACGGTTTTAAAAGCAAAATATATTAAATTCCAAGCACGACGTTACGTTTTAAATATTTTTCAGCGTCCATAATAATGATACCAGCAATTATGATCCCCACACAAGCCTAATAGGAGATTTTAACAAAAGATAATTATGTATTATCCTCCAATAAAATCCAGATTACATGCGCAAGCGCCGCGCTGATAGTTCGCAGTAGCTCTCATAGAGGGCTCACCAAGTAGCCCTACCAAAGTAGGGATAGGAACTAGGTTCCAAAACTTGGTATGGAGAGATAATGACTTTTATTTTATCTTACCGAAGGCAGACGTGACCAACTTCTCCTGGGGTGGACTGGTGACGGAACGAACGACTTTAGACCCCTCTGCTGGTGTTTTTCCCACTTGACGAACGAGTTTCACACCGTCCGTGTGTAGACCTGTAATAGGGGATTATATAAGTCTCCCCCCTATAGCCCACTTCGAAGAATAACTATGTTTCATAGACTTGGAGTATAGGGACATTTCTGTTGTACGTTAACAACTCTACAATCATTCATTTTTAGTGTGTGAGTGTGTGTAAGACAGAGAGTGTGTGTAAGTGAGGGAGTGTGTGTGTGTTCAATTTCCTCTATGTGAAGCATGAGGCAGTCAAAGGTGAGTGTCTAATTATAACTCTGTTTAATTGTTTTATTAAATTAACAAAGCCTAATTTGATTTGCATCCAACTAGTGGCGCCATCTGTTGTAGATTTTCAAAACCTCATAAGGGATTGTAGTTTAAGTCAAACAAACCATCCGCAATAATGTAAATTTATGCTATTAATTTCTCCAAAAATATATATCGCGATTCCAACCGTTATAATTGTCATACGCAAGAATGTAACTCGTTAGTTTCTCTGTCTACCTCCCTAGGTGATTAGTTAAACGTTGGAAAATATCGAGCTGAACAGATTTTGATGAAACTCACCATAGTCCGCGTACGTGTTTGTATGTGACGACCAATGCAACTCATTCAACAGTTCCTCGTCACCCAATTGGTCTCGAATCGCTTCAAATCTGTGATATGATATTAAAACTCATAAATTACGTTGAAAGAGACGAACGGGCGAGCTGGTGCAATGGTGCTTCGACGAGGTCGTGGATTCGATCCCCACCTCGTCCAACATGTTTTTAAATAATTTATAATTTTCCTAAAACTTTGGAAATCTGGATGTTAAATGAGTGGTAGGAACATCGGAATTCCACCCGGGTCACGAGATATCATTTACAGATGCAAAAGTAAATTTTTACAAAGATCTTAAGCCAAAATAGGTCGAGGGCGCATCTTGTTTAGATGTTATATGTGGGTGTCTGTCTTTTCTTGCACCCGTTGAATAAAATCAGCCGCTGTGGACACAGAAGTGTGTCTCCCTGCGTCGTGGAGGGTAACGGGTTCTTTGCCTCTATAACTAACAAATGGTTTGTTTACCAAAAGCATGTTGTTCACATGATGGTGGTTGAGAAGTTGCGCTGTCGGCCTATTTTTGCTAGCAATATGTGGAAATTCAGACTGAAACCGAAACGCGATAAACGGCTTTTTCATCTGTGTGGTGGATCGTGACAGGGACGAAATTTAGGGATATCTACCACCCACTTGACATGCAGACTTCCAAAGTCCAAGATGTTTTATGAAAAATGTTGGACGCGGTGGTAATCGAACCACGACCCGTTGATCAGCCCGCCAAACACATCGTGATACTCACTTCGAAGTGTCCCTTTGCAGCATATCGGCTATGGTCGTCATAGCATCAGCTGCTGCATACATCCAACAGCGAAGGTCGACGTGTCTCTCAATATTGGAGGGATGGGAGGCTCTGAAATTGTATATTGCTGTCTCAACTTTCATTTGGAAGATTGCGTGTAAGTGAGACTAAGTTCAAATTTCATTAAAGAAATCGCGTTTTAAACCGCTAAAAGTGATTTATTTAACATGAACTCGAGTGAACTATAGACATCACTAAAGCGATTCTATTCAAATAGTTTGTAAGGATAATCGTTGTGCTTTCGCGTCTAAACAGCTAGACCGATTTTGATGGAATTTTGCGTACTATATACACTACTGAAAACTGAAATTCCTGTTAGGAAAAGCAGAGATTGACTATCTGGGTGGTAGCTCTTACTCTCTCACTCATGCAAAGAGCCTGGAAGAGATCGCTCCATAGGGATAAGGCCGCCCATAATTAGTAAGATTTTTTCTTTTCTCAAATATTTTTAAGACTATGTTAAAGATAATATTTGAATAAATAAAACGTATTTTTTAGTTTAAATAAAACACTTAAACGCGATACATATCTGTTACACTTATTTGAATCGACCCGACATTTCGGATGATTGGAGCAAAATATTTACCTGGGATAGTCATCTAAGCCCGACGTAAGAGTTTTAGGGTTAAGCTGTAACCCATCTTCCTCTCTACCTCGCCAGCGGTAGGACGTGGGTTCCGCACCTTTTTGGCTGTTCAAGAACCAATTGTACCAGGCCTGAAACACATACGTCATATCGTACAAAATAATTCTTATGATAGAGGAGAACGGGCAAGAATGGGCTATTTTTGCTTTGAATATACGAAATTAGATTTCTCAGTAGCTTAATTACTAGAGCAACAGCAAGACCGGGAGTTCGAGTCCCGACAGAGTAAAAAATATCTAGTTTCTCAAAATGACATCCACCATGACCACGTTTACTGTATAGCATTTGAAACATCGCATCGTAGTTACTACAAGTAAACTAATAAATTTCACGTTTAGAGCCGTTTAAAAGTGTTTTATTTAAAAGTATATAATTACATGAACGGCTTATAAAATTACTAACCTGCAGTCTAGGGAACATCCTATCAAGCGTCCGCCGATGTTTCGAGTCCCGTTGGAAGATGTGCGGCCGGCGTTTGACCATGTTCGCGATTTGGATGAGCAGCATGGGCGGATTGGCAGCCGCGTTGCTCTGCACAACGAATTCTTTGGGCACACGGGCCAGGGCCTCAGAACCTGGATGGACATTTCAACGTATAGAAAGGACCAACTATGTTTTGTCTCTTTCATGCAATAACTACACGATACTGGTGCGACAGAGGCAGAACTATTAAATAAATAAACATTCTATATATTGATTTATTGCTGCCATATTTTGTCTTCTTCATTTACATACGAAATGGAATAAGTATGATAAGGACAAAATATTGTTAAATTACTTTATATTAGCTTTACGTATCTTACTTTCAAAAAAAATGTTTTAATTAAATAATCAAACTCTGTAAACGGTTCAAAACGCGAAATAATTACTTAACTCATTACACTACGTATCGGATGCTACTGCCGTAGTCACGGTGGAATGAAGGTGGAGACGAGAGTGACATTAGAGTCATCTCAATATAAGGTTAAAAATATATTTCGCGTTTTAAACCGTTAGCATTGTCTTATTTACATGTGTACTATTCGCGTAAACTACAGACCATACCTACCTAATATTTGCTCTCTAGGTATCCAGCCTTCAACATTTATCAAATCCAGCCAATGAGCCGCTATGTCCATCTGGATATCCGGTGACCACCTTCCGATGAGCAGGCCATGGAAACCTTCATCCCAGAGAAAGCCCCGGGGGAAGAAGGATCTGAAGAAGAATGATCAGAGCATGAGTACTAGACTTCTATCCCGTTATATAATTACAGTGTATTTTTTCTAAGTTGGCATTTTTGGTAAACAAAGACACAAGATACACGAAAACGTCGGGTCGTTGAGGAGGTTACGTAGTTTATTTCAGCGTGTATGACGGGCACAGTAAAAATCCTTCGTACATACAACTCAAAACTACCAGGCTCACATTAACTGGCAGGAGGTCTTACGGAATGACACCATCAGCGATTTTCCACACTCCCCACGTCACCAACCCAACGTGGGAGACACTTTCACTAGACCCATAGTGTCCTAGTACCTGGTCCTTCCAAAACCACGTCTCAAAATCCCTCGTACATACGACTAAAAAGTACCAGGCTCACATGAAATGCAAGGAGGTCTTACCTGCTCGGAACGCCGGTATACAACGGCGCTTTCCAATAGGGCACCGGCTCGCGTGTATACCTGGATTGGACCCGGCTCGTGCCATAGAAGTAGCCGATACCACCAATCATGTTGGACATCGCCGCTTTTGCTATAGCTGCATCTGTTTCTGTATACCTGGTAAACACAAAACAATAATAACTGTAAGATTCAATCCAACCCCCCCCCCCGAATGTTTTTGCCTTTGAATTGAACAATTAACAGTTTAAAACGCGAAATAAATTTTAACGGGGACTGGAAGACAAATTTGTTTGCTAGCGCCACATATTTCTTTGTTGATGTTGTGAAAAGGCTGTAAATATATGTTACCTTATATATTTCACCGCTAAAGATGTTTTACTTAAATAAAACACTTTTAAACGGTTTAAAACGCGAAATGTATTATTAGTTAACTTATTTGCAATTTTTTACTATGGCCCGACGTTTCGGATGCTTTGCGGCAGCCGTGGTCACGAGGGTACACTCTAATATCAAAGTATGCTACACTCGCGCTACCAGTCACTTCGTAGTTGATCTTAATAAAAGTGAAAGCCATTAAAATTAAGGAAACATATATATTTCGTGTTTCAAACTGTTAAAAGTATGTTATTACAATAAAAAGCTTAGACCAACGAATCCGCCATGTCTGATAGCAATATATAATTAATAATAATAAGCAACCTGGTAAGCAATTCCATCCGTCGTTTCAAAACACTTTAGACTGTTTCCGGTGTTGGACCATTTAAGAATCCAAATCCAGGACGACAGCGCATCTTATCATAAAAACAAATATTTAATGAATACATGCAAACCCACCCTTTCTCCTTCAATTTGAACTCCTCCTCAAATCTCGTATCAAACGACGTCCTCTTCTGTTCCAGCACCTTGGTATATTCCTCCCCCTTCAATGGGGGTGTGGGTAAGTCCTCCGTTGTATAAACAACATCTAGTACAAACGGTGTCTCGACCAGCATTTGAATTGGAACAAAGTTGACTTCCTTTTCCTGAAAAAAGGGATTCATATTTAAAAGGAAGAGTTTTGGCTAAATTAAAACATTTTTAACGGTTTAAAACGCGAAATATATATATAGTTGCCTTAATTTTAACAATATTTTAATTACATTATTATTTAATACAGTCTCCCTATGACCACGGCTGCTGCAAACCATTTTAAAGTCGGGTCGTAGTTAAAACAATTATTTAATCAGTTCAACTAATATATTTCACGTTTTAAACCGTCAAAGTGTTATATTTAAATCATATCAATGTCTAGCCTCGATTTACTGCGACCAGGTCAACATAGCCCTAAGTACCTTATCGTTAAGCTCGTCATCCCCTCCAATTACTGCAAGACGACCGAAAGCGGGATGCTTCTCTACTTTTAATAGAGAATAGTACTTCTCCTTTAGCAGGTGTAGGCCCGGCGCATGCGCATCCGCGTAGGAAGTATGCAATAGTTTGCCTGAAGCAAAATATTTCCAATATCATGTAAAATGTAATATGTATAAATAAAACACTATTAACGGTTTAAGAATTAATCAGCATGAGAGGATCCCCGTGACCGCTGCTCCTACAAATCAACCGAATCGTCGGGTCATGTGTATAATAGACAAAACGAAAATCGATCTCTCTTTCGTTAGCTCGCTCTCTGACGGAGCGATAGAATTATTTAATGGAATTAGTAATTAATTAAAATATAACAAAAATCTTATTATATTGATAAATTACAAATAATTATAAAGTTACAAATATAAAAGTCAAGTCATAGTCATTGCAGTTAGGCTACTCTGGCTCTAGCGGCCTCATACACACACAAATATTACCTTGATGTGGCACCAAATGTACTCTAAAGTTTCCCAAAGACGGGGTGTACCCAACTATGGCCCCCCCTCTCCCCCCAAATCCGGGAATGGGGTCCAGATCCCATCGACTCGTCTAGAGCTCCATACCATATCAGGACGAACGCTGCATTAAGCTTATCCTGGAAATTGTAGCCATCAAACTGATTAGACATTTAGTTTGAGCTACAATGGTGTCAAAAATAATAATTGATTTAGTTAAAACGCCCTTGATTGGTCAGGCTTATGGTGACGTCACTTGCCTATATCACGAACAGTGCTATAAACCACTAGTACAGTGGAATCTCTATAACTCGGTGCTCGTTTAGTCGAAATCCTTAGTAAGGTCGAACCTCTAAATATGCGGTATCTCGAATTAATTAGACTTTGTAACTCCAACAGAATGTTATTTCCCTGCGGTGTATTGATAAGAAAATTTATTTAAATAAAACACTTTAACGGTTTAAAACGCGATATATTAGTTAAACTTATTTGAAAATGATGATCCGAAACGTCGGGCCGAAGTTAAAAATCATTTTCAAATAAGTTTAACTAATATATAGCGTTTTAAACGTAAATTTTTATTTAAATGTGTACTACTCGCGTAAACTATAGAAGATATAAGGATATTTAAACTCTGTAACTCGAATTTAAAAAGAAGACTCTGTAAGTCGAAGTTGGTAATATGTAATGACGTCTTACTTCTTCGAAATCATAGCAATAAAATCCGATAGGAATGTTTGGTGTAGGTTCGGGATTTGTAATCCATTGTTTATGTCTTGTCCATTAAACTATCTAAGGGGTTGTCCATTAATCACGTGATCTTTTTTTTAGAATTTTTAAACCCCCCCTCCCCCATTGGTGATACGTAGTGAGGTTTGAGACCACCCCCCCCCCTCCCCCCTTCTCAACATAACGTGTATTTTTAGTACCTACAAAGAATCTTAAAATTTCTGAATATTATCTTAATTTAAATACAGGTATTAAGTAATTATTTTGAACGCGTTTGACGAAAAAATAAGTACACGAGATATCTTACTATAAACCCCCCCCACCCCCCTTGTGTTATTTTCGTGATTTTTATCAAACCCCTTCCCCCCCCCCTTTCAAGCCTCACGTGATTAATGGACATCCCTTACGTTAATCAGTACGAACGCACCTAGCACTACGTCACAAACAGGTGCCTGCACGGTCGGACGACTACTTCTAATGTATGTACGGTTATGCCTATTTAAAAATTGACAACTTTTTATGTTTAATTGTTTAATTAAATAACATAGTTTATAAGCATAATAAGCTTAGCATATAATTTGTTCTGTATCGACGTTGGATGGAGAGAAAACCCTGAATAGGTTTATGTTCTAAAAATAACAATATTGTAATGTGCTGTTTTTATATAAATAAATAAATAACACATCTGGGTACCTTCTGATTGTTTCTTGCCGGTCAGTACATATTTAATTCTGAACTAGCAACAACATAAATACTAAGAGTCGAAAACTAAAGTTATCAAGACTACTGGATACAATGTGGACGTTCAAGTATTACGTAAGCAGATTTATTACAATTATTTACCCCCCCATCCCCCTTGTCAGCAAAAGTAAGCAAAGCTTTTACCCCCTCCCCCGTGCTTACGTAAACATTTTTCAATTAAAAATGTATTTTTTATATTATAATTATAATTTTAAAAATAAGAAAGTTGATTCAGAAAGTAAATAAATATCGATGACGTAATCATCATCTGGACTCCCCTACCCCCCATGTCAGCAAAAATAAGCAAAACAAAGACCCCCCCCCCCCCCTATAGTGCTTACGTAATACTTGAACGGTCCCATACTAGTATTAAAACAATTCTATTTTATGTATTAATGAATGAATCAATTTGTAAGTAATTTTATTCATTCACCGTTATAATGTAAGAGTTTTGGGTACAAATGTCTCTAGATTTTAGACCATATGATCGACATATACCAATGGCTAATATAGGGTCGTGACGTCACTAGCACTATTGCAGTGATTTTTTCGCAAAACGAGCGTTTGGGCGCGCAATTTGAATCTAGGATATTTGAGCATATTTGCTGATCAGACTACTTTTCTGGGGTTCCTTAACTTATACCAAAAAATATATTAGTTTTATCAACAAATAAAAGAAACAACTCACAACAGAAGTAACATTAATTCTAGCAGTCCAATGGCCTCCGTGCTCCCCGCCTGGAGTTTTTATGAAAGTGGTAACAATATTATGCGGTGGATCTGATATAGTCTGCTCCCCAAATGTGAAACCGTCATGTCTTATCCATCCATAGCTAGGTAGGTTGTCGTTTTGATCACACCAGTGCCTATAGAAATCGTAATCTATATTATAATAATGTACTAATATTAGAAAACTTAAAAGATTGTTTGTTTGAACATTCTAAAAAAGACTAATGAAAGGGAACTGGAAACAAAAATAAAAGAATAAACAGTTTTTTTTTTTTTATTTAATTTAATCATTAAAATTACATTGTCATTACAGGTGGAAGCCCAATTCGACATTGCACTTAAAAACTAACATAGAAATATAGATTACAATTACACTATGACTTATAACTAACTATTAACTAATATTAAATATCCTTAGTGTTAAATATCCTTAGTGTTTAAATATCCTTAGCGTTTAAGTATCCTTAGTGTTTACAGTTTATAATCTCACACGGATAAACCATATGAAATTATAAACTGCAAACATTTTACGAGCTCACTCCATGCATCATAGAATATGTCCTTTTGGTTATGAAGTAGGTTTACTGCCTCTACTGCTCTTGTCCAGGACGCTTTTCCTAACAAGTTCGTTCTAGAAAAGGGTACCTTTATAAGACTTGGGCGATGCCTTTTATGTATGTACTGATCAGGTACTAACAAACTAATTATTCCCAGCATTTGCATGTTAGTTTGTTTTCCCCGCAATACCCTTATAACATACGCTGCAAGTGACAACTCCCTTCGCACTCTAAGCTCCGTATAACCCACCATACCCAGTACGAACAGTGATGGGTACAAGTGAAAGTTAAAGTGTTTTATTTAAATGTTCTAAAACAAAAACAGCGACAGTATTAGTCTTTAGTGTCGCGGAACCCGTCGTGTTCCCCTATAGAAAATAATAATAATCGCAAACAATCAACAGGTCATGGATCATTTCTTTCTGTTTAATGTCAATGTATAATTTGTCAATTTATAATTATCAAATGTGTCAATTTATAATTTTTCTAAAATATTACACACACTTAGCCCGAAAATATGGATATTAAATGACTGATACGTTTATAGATGAGAAAGCCTTGAAGACTAATTGCGTTCAGTCAATGTATTTCCGATAGCCTTGGTCAATATGAACTATATTAACAGCACAGGCTGAAGTTCACCTTCCATCAATTGAATCTCATGTCAGTCCTGAATCTTAGGGATATAAAATATTGTAAGGAAAACAAATTAAAACAATAATCATTATACCTTATGCCTTTATGGGTAGCTGCAGCTAACTCATACCACATCATCCCAAAAACAGGAGATCTTGGCTCACGGTTTTTCAGCCCAAAGTAGACCCCAGGACGATATGTGCCCCAATATCTGTCTGGTACAGAGAGACCCGAATCTTGCACTGCCTGTAATATTTTTCAATAAAGAAAAAGATTTATTTGATTAAGATATTTGAATGCAAAATGTATATTTTGCATAATAAAAACATATGCTCAAAAGATACTTTGTTGTTTGTAGTCTGTGTAAAAAAAAAACTACAGTCAATAGATTTAACAGACATTAAAAGACTTTTAATGGTATACATAGATATAACTTAGATAGACTTACATAGATTAACACGTGAACTATATATTTGTAAACTACATTTTTATTTATTTTTAATACAACTACTAACTTGGACACTATGCAGCAGCTGTTTTTTAACATTTCAGTTAAAATTAAGTTTTATTTAAACTTGCATTAGAGCTCTTGTATAAATATTTTTATTATATTGAATTAAGATAGCTAACAATAAAATTAAAAGCAGATCACTTTAAGCTTAAAAACTATTAGTATTATTTTTTTTAACTGACAGAAATATAGCAGTTTTCTAATCCACACCCAATTATGTACAGTGGTATTGCTCTACTGATTAAGAAACAATATAAATTGTAGCATGCACTTCTCAGTCTGTATAATATTAAATAATTCTCTTTAAAAATAGGGAAATAGGTGAAATTGATGGTAGATCACCTGGCTAAGTATTGGTGTCCCCAATCAAAAATAAATAAACATTCTTAAGTTTATCTAACTGAAGTTATAACATACTACTAAATATTGGTATAACTATTATACTGTACTTATATTCAATACACTTTAAGACAGCTCTAGCAATATACATTTAAGGTTTTGTTTACAAGTCCTAAATCATAACGCCGGTAACGTAAAGTTTGTGCCCTAACGTACCTTATCGCCATCAAATGGTGTGTTTACTCTTGTTTCTAAGTACCCCAGGGTACCAATATACACGGCTATTATTAGGCATAATACACCTAGTGTTGTTTTCCACACAGTTACGATTGGACTGCGTGGTTTGGTGTTTTCGCTGCTCGAACCGCTCGCGTCCGATGTGTTACTGTGTTTTACTTGCAAATTACTCTTTCTGTGCTTCACCATTTTGTTTTCATTTGCTTTGGCTCTTAAGAGACGCGTTTGCGCTGTTTACTATATTAATTTTATTTAGTAAATAAATGATCAACTCATTGGGAAATTTTATTTAGATAGCAAAGATATAGGTAAATTGGGATTTGGAAGTTAACGTGAAACTGAAATGTCAAACGAATGTAAATTGTCAACGTCAATCAATATTGATTTTGTGCTTGGCTACAGATAATGTATTCTGATAGTCACAGATTATATTTTTACTAATATACTTTCATATAAACTATAATACTTCTAAAAGGAAAACTGCGTAGATTCAGATAGAAACCGTAATTAGTTAGTTGAAAATAACTTAATTATTATTTAAAAACTAGTAAATTAGTAGTATAAGTGTTCTAAATTATAAGCTTAGACAAAATATGTTTTCGTCATCATCACTAGATGGCGTTTGTAGTCTGAAAATGATAGTGAAATCATTAGATCATGGAATAAGGCTAAATTATATATGTAATTATTGTTATAACTCAAATTATTGATAACACTAACACTTGTTTAACACCAAACCACCGAAAAATAAAACCCAATTTGTACCAGCTCATATAACATTGTATAAAAAAAGATCACAAAATTTCATACAAAAATTACAAAAGATACACCAAAATTTGTATACAACTATCGGGCATAAAATATCAAAATGTACTTTAAAAAAACAGGTTTTGAGAGTTTATTGATTCCTTATCGTAAGAAATGAAGAAAAAAGCGATTGAAGCGCTGCAAACGGAATCTACCAATAACACGCCACCTGTCCAAAAGGTCGATAAAGTAGTTGAACCGCGTCGGTACAACAGCTCGCCCCCCGCGCCTCACCGCCGTCCCTCCCAACGCATCCAGTACTTCGGCGCACCGGGTCGCGTCCACATCGTCACACCGCAAAAATGACGCGACGCAACTGTCATTAAACGAGATCCAATTTACAAAAGTTATTAATGAAATTATGTAAAACAATCAATGGACGTGCGTTTTAGTGTACAGTGGCAGTGAAGACGCGTGTTCGCCCGCTTTGCACCCGCCGGCCGGCGACGCGGCACAAAAAAAAGGACCCAATGTCAGATTCTTGGATTGGTGGTAGCAGTGTTGTGTAGTTTAAAATAGTTAAATGGATACACGCCGTGCAATGTTCGTATGAGGAAGAAAGGCAACCGAAACATTGTAAGTGGTGAATTCGAGTGGTTAAGTTCCCAAATGCGGGGCGAGCCGCCCTCGTCGATTTTATTCGTTTGGGGTGGCTGAGCGAATACGGAGGTACGCAGCTCGGAGGTCCATGTACCCTCGCTTCTATACATTTTTTTCACACACCGAACAGGTCCCTAACCCCTTTTTTGTGCGGCGAGTTTTTTTGGAGGGAACCGCGTATCGATCTTTTTATAGGTTAGGTTATCTGTATTTGTTTTTATTTTTTCCGCTCGTCCAACGAAGTTTGTATTGATGCACTTTTAAACTTACGATATTCTTAATAAAAGGTAACGTTAAATTATATTCAAATAACACCACTACTTACGTATATTAAAACTTACTGGGAAACGTTCTTTTGCAATATGAACTAGTACAGTTCTATCAGCGAGAATCGTTATTTTGGGTATCTTAAACCGTTTTGCGAAAACTCGGAAACCTATAATGAATAATTTTCACATTTCTCGCTGTATCTTCGCTTGTATTGGTCACAGGGCGATGTTTTATAGCCTATAGCCTTCCTCGATAAATTCTCTAACTAACACAAAAATAATTTTTCATTTCGAACCTGTAGTTCCTGAGATTAGCGCGTTCAAACAAACAAACAAACAAACTCTTAAGCTTTATATATTAGGATATATTTCAACGAAATTGAATTCTCATAAAAACTGTTCTTATGTGGTTCTATCTATTGGGATAGACATATACTGCCGTAGACATTATTTAGATAATTTAAAGAGGAATTTCTTGGAAGGATTTGGACCGCACGCAACGGAAGCCCTCAAAGATTCCCCCCCTTTTAATACCCCTTCTTTCTTCACTCCCATTGGTCTCAACTTGGTGTTCTATAGCCTAAAGCCTTCTCCGGTAAATCGTCCGACTGACTTAAAAATAATTTTTCAATTCGAACCAATAGTTCCTGAGATTAGCGCGCTCAAACCAACGAAATCTTCAGCTTTGTAATATTAATATAGATATTTGAGTTTCCCCTTTTGCGTATAACCGTTGACGTTAGGTTTGGTATATATAGCTAATATTAGTTTTAGTATAGTTATATCATAGTATAATGTTAAATGATATAGTTATCCTTAGATACTGTCTATTGTTTACGCGAGTAGTACACATTTAAATAAAACACTTTAACGGTTTAAAACGCGATATATTAGTTAAACTTATTTGAAAATGATTTTTAACTTCGGCCCGACGTTTCGGATGCTTTGCAGCAGCCGTGGTCACGGGGAGACTCCCCATTCAAATAAGTTTAACTAATATATCGCGTTTTAAACCGTTAAAGTGTTTTATTTAAATAGTTATCCTTAATAAAATTTTTTAAGTATTAAAATTTCTACGTAACTTAACAAACCATGATTTATAATAACTATTATAAAAGCAAACGATTTGATGTAATTAATACTAGACGAATTATTTTCAAGAATCCTAACAGTTATGGTTAGGAATTTATCCAGGAAGCATTTAGGCAATAAACCGTCTCGACGCGACCAATTGGGGCGAAGTGATAGTGGGGAATGTGGAAAAATCGGGGGAGATTATGCATCTTTGGGTCTCTGTTGCGTGCACTGCGAAAACGGGTCAAGATACCCAAAAAGAAGTATGAAGAAATGATTCCTTATTAAAAGATTTTTTAAAATGTTAGCGACAGTCTATGTCTAACTTTACGTTTATACCATATGCAGCGTTTTAAACCGTCAAAACTGTTTTCTTAAAAAAGTAACTCTAGACAAGACAAACAGCTTTCAATGTCTAGACAGTCAGGCGTTTCAAATTACTGACTCAAATAAACGGATTATTATTTATCCTGTATCTATAAGCCCCTTGTCCCCACGTGGGGCATGAGGCGAACGAATTTCTGTTTTACTGATCGTTTCTCTTCACAGGCAAGTAGTTGATCTGACTTCTGTGCCCGACCGATTTTTTCCCCGGAATTCGAACACAGGTCCTCTCGTGCCTAACGCAATGCGTGGGGTATGGGGCAGACCCAATTACCTGACCTACTTGTTGCAAGGTAGATCAAAACATTTCATACAACACTTGGAACATTGTTTTAATCACATATTTTAAATACTGTCTATAGTTTATGCGAGTAGTACACATTTAAATAAGACACTTTAACTGCTTAAAACGCGATGTATTAGTTAAACTTATTCAAAAAATCATTTTCAATTAAGTTTAACTAATATATCGCGTTTTAAACCGTTACTTTTATTAAAACACATTTTAAATTGAAATAGTGACGTGCGCGGGACTCGAACTTCGACTGTATTCCTATAGTGTATATTTTGCTTGACAGTTTAAAAGCACTTAGGTTTTAAAACTTTGTTGAGATAGTGACGGTTAACGGTCTGTAATTACACGAGCAAACATCTAATATATTTCGCGTTTAAAACTGTTTAAAGGGTTCATTTAAAATTAACAGTTAATATAATCAAAATCTTTGTAGTCGCTTGGGGGTAAAGAGTAAGAAACATTTGAAAATTTTATTATTTATTTCACATCTTCATATGCAATAACATGTACTACAACACTATATTTAAAACACTAAATTTACACTTTAACGGTTTCAAACGCGATATATTAGTTAAACTTATTTGAAAATGATTTTTAACTTCGGCCCGACGTTTCGGATGCTTCGCAGCAGCCGTGGTCACGAGAGTCATTTCCAAATAAGTTTAACTAATATATCGCGTTTTAAACCGTTAGTGTTTTATTTAAATGTGTACTACTCGCGTAAACTATAGACAGTATCTACAACACTATATATGTAATTTAAAAATCAAAAATAAATTGAAGACATTCTCCATTCCCGATATCAGTCGTATTAAAATCAAACACTAACGGTTTAAAAGGCGGTATATATTAGTTAGACTTACTTGCGCAAGAGGTGCATGTATCAATAAGTTAAAAAAATGCGACGATGAGGTGTGTAGAACTCGGTAGCTCAATTGCTAGAGCAACAGCAAGGAACGCTGACGTTTCAAGTCGGTTCAAGTCCTGCCCGAGTCTAATTTTTTTTCGATTTTTAAATTAGTTCGACTTTAAATAAAACACTTTAACGGTTTAAAACGCGATATATTAGTTAAACTTATTTGAAAATGATTTTTAACTTCGGCCCAACGTTTCTGATGCTTTGCAGCAGCCGTGGTCACGGGTATAAATAAGTTTTACTAATATATCGCGTTTTAAACCGTTAAAGTGTTTTATGTGTACTACTCGCGTAAACTATAGACAGTATTTAGTTCGACTTATTTGCAAATTAGTTAAATACGGCCCGCAGTTTCGGTCGCTTCGCAGCAGCGGTCTCAATCGGCTGATGACGATTCTCGCGGACGAAGTCGCTGACACAGCTAGTATATGGGGGCTCACCTACCATCACGTGAACGCCGCGCTCGTCTGTTCTCTATCAAAAAACACCGTTGTAGTGTTTTAAATCTACGAAGTACAGACAAGGTATAAGTTATTCGAGTATACAAAACAATTGTTCACAAACTGGTTTTGCTCGTAACTGGCGCGAGCGAGTTTTTTATAACAGAACACAGAATCGACGGCCAGACATATATTAGCTAGCTTCAGCTGAGAGGCCTTTAAGCTACGACTAATATTAAACACTGTCTGCAGTTTACGCGAGTAGTACACATAAAACACATTAACGGTTTAAAACGCGATATATTATTTAAACTTATTTGTATTTTCCAAACTACGGCGCGACATTTCGGATGCTTCAATTACTTTTAAATTAGTTTAACGAATATATATCGCGTTTCGAACCGTTAAAGTGGTTTATTTGAGACTTCCAATGTATTTTAAAAAATAGAAACATCGGACCAATCATCAGACCAATTTATTCGTAGCATATATTATGTACTGTATTTTTACCTGAACGCCATGTTCGTGAATTGTTTGTTACATTATCCAAACAAGTTAGACGAAAAATCTAGAAAATCTAATGATAACACGTGATTATCAAAATTCTACCTGTGTGATGGCCACGCATACAGAATCCATGAATTGTAATTTTGGATTTCGTTCGTTTTGTGGATTCCTAGAAGCCGAAATAGGGTCATAGTGCAACTGAATTAAACGCTATAGGTCATCCATCAAGTGAATCATAATGTCAATGTCTTTCTCTAAACGATTTAACAGCAAAATGGACCCGCTGGGTATCGAACTTAGGACCCAGTCCTGAGCTCTTATATATCGAAAGACGTAATCGGCAAACTAAAAAAAAATTAGTATGGTGTAGAACAAGTGCAACTATATATTCTTATCATAGTATAAAAGCAGAAAAACATACATTCAATCAAAAAGCTCTAAAAAACCGGTTTAAAACACGAAATATATATACTACTACTGGAGTTCGCTTATTTTTAATTCGTTTTAATTAAGGCCCGACCTTTCGGATGCAGCAGCCGTGGTCACGGGGGGACGTAATTAAAAACGAATTTACGGATATATTTCAAGTGTAAACCGTTAAATGTCTAACGAAAGGACAGACAATACCTAATCGCATACAACGTACAAGTTTATACGAGTGTATGAGTTATGATTCATGCGTTTTGAGCCGTTAGAATTGTTCCATTTAATGAATTATTTCGTGGTATAAATATTATGTACACTTGCATATGAGGTTCTGAATTCGAATCCCAAGATATCCATTAATTATTTCAGACGCAGGGTTAAGTCTGATCGAATAAGCTATAAATAAAATTGACTTATTTATAAACATTCAAAAATTTGAAATACAAAAGTATATAACGGACACAATTGTATGTCCGGATAGAGAGACGTTATTTCACTGTTAGAGCATTGGTCTAATCTATCTATCTAAAGAGTTTGTTTGTATGTTTCTATGTTTGAACGCCCTAATCTAAGGAACTACTGGTACGAATTGAAAAAATATTTTTGTGTTCATTTAACCATTTATCGGGGAATGCTAAAAGCCTATGCTAATGGAAGCCATAGGAAACAGTGAGAAGTCTCTTTTAAGATAAATTTGCAAGAACGACGGGACGTCAGTTGAACAGGAAGCAAAAACAAATTTGGATTCCTAAAATAACTATTCTATGCAGACGAAGTCGCTAATACGGCTAGTCATATCAGTGTAACGGACACAATTGTATGTCCGTGTTGTACAGAACGTGATTTCGCTCTTAGTGCATTGATCGAATAACAATATCCTCGAGATGACGTCACGAGGGTCAAGGCAAAAAAATGAATCTCCAGCTACCTGCGTCGTCGCGACAGACCTTGTCAACGGTCTGCCACTTTTAACGGGTTCGATATTTGAAATTTCGCTAAGACTACTTGACCTTGAAGGGGCGGACGTAAATATAACTTAACTAGCTGTGTCAGCGACTTCGTTCGCGTAGAATAGTTATCTTGGACATCCAAATTCGTTTTTGCAAACCCCTGCATCTTTATAAACTTAAGCGTTACCCACGAGGTCGGTCGCGTCTCTGTCCTTCGTTCTTGCAAGTTAATCTTAAAAGATAGACATATATAATAGATTTATAGTCAGAAAAAAATATCGCTGTACCTTGTATTAGCCACAGAACGATGTTGTGTAGCCTACCTCGATAAATACTCTAACCAACACTAAAAGAATGTTTTAATTCAAACCCGTAGTTTTGAGATTAGCATGTTCAAACAAACAAACTCTTCAGCTTTATACATTGGTATAGATAAACGAGTTTATAAGTAAAGTATCTATTTTCTATACTTTACGAGAGTACACATTAAAATAAAATTCATTTAACGCTTTGCTCTTGCCTTGGAAGGGACGTAAAACGTAATATTTTATTTAAGATAATAAAACATTTATAGTAAAGTATTGTCCCTACTATATGCGAGTACACATTTAATCAAACCCATAAAACGGTTTAAAATGCGAAATGTACTATTTAATTTATTTTAACTAGGCCGTAGTTTGATTTATTTAACTGGAGTATGGATGTCGGTTCGTTATTTGAAATTTCGCTATAACCACTTGCTCTTGGTAGAATGTAAATAACAAACAGTCTCCCCGTGACCACGGCTGCTGCAAAGCATCCGAAACGTCGGGCCGATGTTAAAAATCATTTTCAAATAGTTTAACTAATATATCGCGTTTTAAACCGTTAAAGTGTTTTATTTAAATAAACAAATTAATAAGTCAGGTACCAATCTATTGTCTATATTTCACGGAATACACATGTAGGTATATAAAGCAAGTGTGTATGTATTTTATTTATATAGTTCAAAATATTAAAGTTTCAAAATCAAAAATAAATTGAAAACATTTTCGATTGGGGCAGGAATTGAACCGGCATCGTCAGCGTTCCGTGCTGTTGCTCTACCAATTGAGCTACCGAGTCATATTAAAGTTTTCAAACGTACAAGTATGTTACTAAGGAACCATAAAATCTACCGACATAAGTCAGGATCGCGTGAAGATCCGCGAGGCCAAGAACCAGCTAATGAGACCGTGCCTAGTACTAACTTGGAGGTTTTGCGAAATGGCGTCTCCCACCACCTCGCCTGTCATGTGAACTTAGTATATGATCTCGATTTTTGACGTGCTCGTTGGTGTAGAGGTAGGAATGTGTGGCTATGGGTCGCGGGTTCGATCACCACCGGGTCAAAGATGTTTCTTATCAATTTATAATTTTTCTAAAACATGTCGGAATTCGTCTGGATGGGTAGGATTATATAGGTTCTGCAAAATTTCCCATCTCCTTGTCTGATATGTGCACTTAGTATTTACAATCGAATCAAGTATTGTCTGTAGTTTACGCGAGTATGATTTATTATATATTATTCGATATAATCTAATCAAGATGCGTTGTCGGCCTATTTTGGCTTGTGAATATTTCACTTGAAGGATTTTTCATCTGTGGAGAATGGTTGACCCAGAATAAATTTCGATTTTCTTGCCACCAACTTCATATCCAGATTGCCAGGCGAAGCCAAAAATGTTTTAAAAGAAATTATAAATTGATTAGCAAATGTTCCAGTGCCCACTACTCCTCTTTTGAAAGCTAATAGAGACATAGGCAGTCTTACTGGTAAAACATTTGGCATACATCAAAAGTCGTTAGAAGGTTAGACTTGGATTTTTCTGGTTATTTCCGTGACTCCACACTTCGCGTTCATCTCTCGATCCAAGATCGTGTGTGCAATGGTACACAGGTTCTCTAATTACGAGCGGAGCACAGTCGTATCCTGCGCACCACAAAAGTGGGGCTCATTCTAACGTCATGTAAATATGAAAATAATGAATGGAGCCGGGGTTTTTCGAGTGCCGCGTTCATTAAACTTTGTCGTTCGCTTGAAAACAGATGAATTTCCTTTGTGCAATTATTTCCTAGAGCTAGGCTCGTGGAAAGTTCTTTTCTGGTTATGCTTGCCTGGTATATCAGGAAAGGCTAGCGTGGGGTTTACTCGATGGGAGGTGATATATGGAGCCTATAGCATCTAAACGAGATAGGCTATCGACCTATTTGGGCGTTATTTTTCATACGTTATTGTTTGGTTTCTTGAACCGTTTTTTTCTCTTTTTCTTTGCTTCTAATCGTGATTATATAGACTAAAGCCTTCGTCGATAAATGGTCTGTCGAACACAAAAATATTTTTCTAATTCGAACCACTCGTTCCCGAGATTAGCGCGTACAATCAAACAAACTCTTCAGCTTCATAATATTAGTATAGCAAGTATTGAGTTTAGATAATATAATGAGGTACTGCCGTTTAATACTGCACTTTGACAGTTTAAAACGCAAAACATTATAGTTTGGTTTGTCAACTAAGATCTGGCGTTGCGGCGGTTAACAAATATAATTCATGTTTTAAACAGTTACGTAAGAACACATTAATAACTACGTTTGCTTTAAGCGCGATCGGTCCTGAGTTCAAGTCTCGGACAGCCGCATTGAGAGAATGATTAGTAGTCAGTAGTGAACAGACATCAATGTGTCTGAAATCACAGACAAATGACCAAATAGAAACGCAATAGTCGAAGTCGGTCAACACGCAGACATTAAATTGTTTTATTATTATATAAATAGTCCGTTGCATCTGTTTCAAAGGTTGCTTGCGTAATGGAGCTCGCGAAATTTTCTTTAGTCGCACAGAGTAATAAATTATAGACACCGATTGATTTAACATAATATTTAAATACTGTCTGTAGTTTACGCGGGTAGTATCCTTTTAAATAAAACACTTTAACTACGGCCACGAAATATATATCGTGTTTTAAACCGTTAGAGTGTTTAATTCAAATTATTTAAATTGTTAGTCAAAAGTGACAAAATCAAAAGTCCCGCAACTCTCCGTTGGACATGGGGCGGACATATTTCCGTGTCCGATTCACTGATCGGTTTTATTTATCGGCAAGTAGTTGGTCATACTTCTCTGCACTGTCTGATCCTGATCTTTTGTTTTTTAAGCTAACACATTTACCATTCAGCTACAGAGCCGGTCCGAATTTGGATGTAGAAATCTCAATTAGATTAGAATTTGTGTTCTCTATGATTTAATAAACAGCTTATTGCGGTCGGATCCTATATGCTTTAGCCTATAATATGGTCGGAGTATATATGGTTAAATTAATCGCTGACACATAAAAAACATTGCATACCTTTTTTTGCATTGTATTAATGTAAGTCTCTGTATATTTCTACTCTGTATCATTACAAGTGCACGCTCGGTACCTACGCTTACATGATATTGTGCATTTGTTAATATTGCTGTCTAACATAACTGTGAGATGTTGTAAATAGGACGACTTACTTACTTTCTAGATTCTGTCAGAGAACAGACAAGTATGGGGTCCACGTGATGGGAGCAACAAGATGCGCAGTCGCCCTATTTTGTCTTTGTACATTCGGGAATCCATTGATTGAAATCGAAACGCTGGTTACAGTCCTTAAAGTCAAAACTTTTTGATACTTTGATCTGGATATCGAACCCGCTGTATGCAACAGGGTCGTACTTAATGTACCGACATAAAACAGTTCATAATCCATTAGTCGCGGATTTGACGTCTGTGTCATAATATTATTTAATATTTTATTGATTTTTCTGTACTAACTCTACTAACTGTACTACTCGCGTAAACTAGAGATCTGTATGTATGTATATAAAATCCGTTTTCAGATGTCGGTGGGCCTACAGCGGCGTGTGCCAGCGCTGGACGAGGCTGGCGGGCCGGGGTGGAAGTCCAGCGAGCCGTTTCCCTCTTTCGCGCCACCAGCGGGCTCCCCCGCGGGGCCCGCATTCGCCGCCTCCCCCGCGCCGTCCACGCCCGGCCCCGGCCCCGGGTTCGCGGGGCCCTACGCCGCCGCGGGGCCCTTTGGCAGTCCCTCGGCGCGCCCGGGCTCCGGCGGCGGCTTCCCCCCTCCGGGGCAATTCCCGGGGCCCGGCTTCGCCCCGCCCGGGTCGCCGTTTCATCCGCACCCGCCACACCCTATGCCGCCGCATCCTCATATGATGGCACCCCTACCGCCTCCTGTTGACAGGTGAGGTTTTTCATGCTACAATTTCTTGGTCTTGGAAAAAATAAATAAGCAATAAAAAAAATTAATAGCACATATTTAGGTACCACCACCGTTAAAGTAGAATAGAATAAAACAAAAATATATCTAACAAATTTAAAAATTACTGGTGTCGCTTCTTTATGCTAAAAAAGCTTAGACTTGGATATAATAAATAAATCAAAATAAAAAAAAATATCTTGGTACCTCCACTAAAGTGCTAAAATAAAATATCGAGCATAACAACAATAGAGATTTGTGATTTAAAATAATTACTGGCGTCACTTCTTGATGCTATAATAGCTTAGACTGGCAATAATATACAAAAAAATCAATATCTAGGTACCTCCCCTATGAAACTACTAAAATAAAATAAAACAAATTGAGAATATATCTATCGAAAGTAACTACACTGCATAGTATAAAACTAAGTTGCTCGTCTGTGCCTATGTGCGCTTCAATCTTTAAAACTAAGCAACAGATTTTGATGTGATTTTTAATAGATAGAGTGATTCAAGAGGACGGTTTTTATATACTACGTCCACACTTTTTCTGTAGTGTATTTAGTGTCAGCTTTGCACCCGACCAAAACCGGGGCGAGTCGCTAGTTTGAAATAATTACCAGCGTCAAATGTAATAATTTATACGCAATAGCAACATTTATTTTATTTTCGAAGGAATAAAAAAATATTTTTTTTTATGAAATAGGTATACTTTTATGAGCTACTAGCTAAGTCAGCGACTTCGTCCGCGAAGAATAGTTATTTCCACCATCCAAAATTGTTTTTGCAAACTGTTACCTACGTCATCGCACGCGTCCCTCGCGATCCGGCGTTCGATTCCCGTCGTTCTTGCGAGTTCATCTTAAAAGCTACATATATCGCGTACTTTTTTTTAGATAAATTAAAGGGGAATCATTCTCTCGTACATATTTTTTGGGTATCTTGAACCGTTTTTGCAGCGTACGCCTCGGAAACCCATAATGATATGAATAAATTTCCCATTTTTTTTCACATTTCCGGCTGTACCTTTGCTTCTATTAGTCACAGGTATGTTTTATAGCCTTCGTCGATAAATGCTCTAACCAACACAAAAAGAAATTTTCAATTCGAACCTGTAGTTCCTGAGATTAGCGCGTACAAACAAACAAACTCTTCAGCTTTATATCTAAGTATAGACGTATATATATATATATTTATAAATATCATTTGATTAATGAACAATTGATAACGCCTGAGCTGGGTTTAAGATTTTAGTATTTATTCGATTTTTTTTTCAATATTCCAATACTTAGTGTAGCTATACATAGATATCGATAAGTTGTTATTGTTTTGTCTATTTATTCCTATTGCTTTTTAACTAGTACAATCAGTAGCGTAGCTAGGTTGACAAGGGCCCCGGTCTACCTAATCCTAGGGCCTAAGAAAGAATCGGGCCCTCATTCCCTCTTTCAGCCTAGTTTGAATTAAATGACCTCCAAAATTACACAAATTTTAATAAAACCTTATTCAAATACGTTAAAAGAATTATTTTCTTTTACTCTTATATCTTTTCAAAGATGAGGTTAAAGGCCCCCCAAGTTCCGGGGCCCCACCTGGTCCTACGATAGCTACGCCACTAGTACCTACGATAGCTTAGCACACTTTGATACAATTTTAACTGTTTTGAAGCAGGTGGTAAAATCGATATTTTAAGTAAGTTAGGATTAGCCTTTCACCTAATAATCAATGAATCGTTGGTTGGGTTACCAGAGACATATTTTTAATATAAATAAACAATAATATTGTCTATAGTTTACGCGAGTAGTACACATTTAAATAAAACACTTAAACGGTTTAAAACGCGATATATAATTGTTATACTTATTCTTCTCTTTGTATCACTCTCCCCGTGACCACGGCTGCTGCTAAATATCCGCAATGTCGGGCCGTAGTTGAAATAATCAAATAAGTTTAACTAATATATCGCGTTTTAAACCGTTAAAGCGTTTCATTTAAATCTATAGAATCGTAAAAAAATCAATTTCAAGAATGCGTCAAAAGCCGTGCCTTATAAGTTCTAAGAAAAAATAAGAGAATCGACGTCGCTAAAAATCGCAAAATTATCCTTGGAATAAAATAAAATGTGCTTGCTTGTGTGTGAGTGTGTATGTATAGCCGCCTCTGTGGGGGTGAGCTATAAAACTGCGCTTGTGTGAGTGCACAAATAAATGTAGGTGAACGGTACGTAGGTATATCGCGGTACAGTCGGGTGGAACCGTCGTTAATTATTAATTTTTGACTAGTCTAGATATTTGTTTAGGAGTACGGAAATGTAGCAGCAGTTGTTAAGTGTGTCGTGGACTCGAATGTCATATGTCATAATTTAATATATCTTGAAATTATGACATAGCGGACAAGTGTTTATTGTTTAAATTTATTAAATTTCAGTTAACTCGTTTTTGCGAGATATACCATTGTTGTTGTATATTTAACAGTTTAAAACTCGAAATATACTAGATAGAGTTTACAATCTATTTTAACTACGGCCCGAAGTTTCGGATGATTTGTAGCAGTTGTCACGGGGCGACTAAACATGGAAGGTGTCCCTAATTGCAAGGCAAAACTGCTACACTAACGCCATCTGTTTCGTGGTAGTTGTTATTTGGAGAAACTGCCTGGGCCCTTACAACACTCGTTTAATAAGTTTACTAATAAGTACAGTTTACAAGTAAATATAGTAAATTTAACTTAATTTACCTAAAATATAACGAGGTAAATAATTCCCATAATATTGAATCTTAAGATTTATTAAAACTGGCATGTATCGAATGACAATTATGTTATTATTTTTAGTTGCGGTAACATGCGATTCAATAACAGGAAAAACTGCGAATCTTATCTGTGAAGGAATTTCTGCTTGTTTATTCATTTATTTCAATTAATTATTATTTTCAGTTAACCATTGAGCAAATTTTTGTATTGTACACTCCGATCATCCGAAACGTTGGGTCGTGGTTTAAAATACTGTCTGTAGTTCACCTGAGTAGTACACATTTAAATAAAACACTTAAACGGTTTAAAATGCGATTTGTATTAGTTAAATTGGGCTGTAGTTAAAATAATTTTCAAAAAATCTTTACTAATATATATCGCGTTTAAAACCGTTAAATAGTTTTTTTTCATCTAAAATATTTTAAACGGAGATATTGAACATTTATATGGCTGGGGTAATTTACCTTCTATCAACTTTTTTCACTCTTGTACCTTACTAACGCCTAATATTGTGTTAAGTGTTGGTCTGACATTCCAATATACAGATTCTGATATGACACACCCGTAAATAAAATTTACATGTGATACAGACACATAAATATGTCTCACAGTACAGTACCTCAGGCCCCGAATAGAGGAAGTGTTTACACACTTTTTTTGATATTTTAATATTTCGTTGAAGAGCATGCTTATAAGACATGTGAGGTGTTTTTTTATTATTATTTTTTTATTTATAGTAATGCCTCAATATTGGATTAGGGATACGTTGAATTCAGCTTATGTTAAAAACCTGTTTGAAGTTACGCGAGTAGTACACATTTAAATAAAACACCTTAACAGTTTAAAACGTGATGTATATTACTTGAACTTAATTTAACAATATTTTAGTGTCGAAACGTAGGCCGTAGATAAAATAGTGTTCAAATAAGTTTAACGAAAATAGATCGCGTTTTAAACCGTTAAAGTGTTTTATTTAAATTGTTTGAAGTCATCACAACTACAATAGTAATAATAGGTTCAGTGTATCGATTTTGTGTTGTATTAATTTTAATCTTATAATACGAAATGATTTCCTATGTTCTGAGTTATTATTATTGAGATGTTATAGGCATATATAAATCATATATTGTTGAGATGTTATAGTCTATTTAACTTACCTATCAAGTTTACCCTACGCTTATCTCTCTTTCTATACCATAAGTCTTCATCTTAAATTAAAACAAGTTGCTTAATTTAATGTTTAAACACGTTTTAAGATACTCTTTAAGTTAGTAATGTCGCGCCTAATAAGATTTACAATTAACAATTTCGTCCGCGACTGTACTCGCCCACCCCGTATCTATCTACGTACGCTATGTAGCCGACGGTACCGCTCCGCCCAACCTCCGTTGACCCGCCGCGTGCCCCTCGCGCCCTCCAACCACCAGGGCCGGGTGACATTGCGCGGGTCAGCTGTGCCTGGTCGTACCTACATAAGACTGGAGTGAGACGACACTCGAGCAAGCGAGTGGCGTCTGCCTGCGCTCCCCGATCAAAATCATTCCAAATTCGAATATTTTGACGTTTACGGATTCTTGCGCGTTTGACGTTTGCGCTGTATCTTAACTTAACATAATTTACAGTTTAAATTAATTACTAGCTGAGCTGGCGATTTTTTTTTCGCCATATGATATACAAGCCCTTCCCGTCGTTCTTGCAAGTTAATCTTAAAAGATAGATCATTCTTTCATACATACTTTTTGGGTGTCTTTTCGCAGTGCACCTTTTTTCACATTTCACTCTGTTTCACCGCTTCTATTAGACGCAACGCGATGTTTTAATAAATGCTCCAACGAACACATTTTTTTTTACTTCGAACCAGTAGTTCCTGAGATTGACGCGTTCAAACAAACAAACAAACTCTTCAGCTTTTTTTCATTAGTTACTAATAATGAGTATGATTTGCTAGAAGATATTATTTATCAAATACATAATTGAATATTGTCTATAGGTTTCGTGAGTAGTACAAATTTGAATAAAACACTTTTAACGGTTTAAAACGCGGTATGTAATAGTTAACTTATTCACAGTGTATTTTAACTGCGGTCGTGATTGCGGATGCTTTGTAGCAGATGTGGTCACGGGAGGACGAATAATAACCACTATCCGTAGCACTAAAATAAGTTAACTGTAAATTTCACATTTTAAACCGTTTGAATGAAATGAATGTAAGAAAATTTTGCTTTGATTTACTAAA